ACTTATTTAACCTTAGAGAAATCCACTGAACCATGGGAAGAATTCACATTTGCTTTAGATATTTTGATATCAGAATTTCCAAAAACGAATGAGCAAATCACCTTGATAACAATACCGAGTTCGTCATCAAGTATATTTATCAATGACAATGGATATCTCTGCTTATCAACTGGCATTCAAAGTCAATCTGTTTTAAAACGAAATGATTTTCTGCGCTTCGCCATTGTTGGCAATCATACTTCTTTAAAAATCTTTGTTAATGGTACGTTGGAAATTGATACCGTCGTTGACGAGAACCAATGGACGATCAAAGACACTCACATTGATCTCTTTCGAGAAACGAAGAATACTCTGAATAATGATACACTTCGAATCGCATGTAAATCGCTGACATATTTAAATAAGGCGATAATGATTCTCGACGGAAAATTCAATTCATCAAAGTGTTCTCTCGATGCCCTTACTGTATTTCCATATTCAATTGTTGCACCCAGTCTTCTATTAATTGGCTACGATGAAGCATCCATTCAATCCGCAATCACCCATAATCCATCAGCTAGTATTCAATTGCTCGATACGATCTTACGCGAAAAGAAAAAAACAAACGACGAAGTCCTGTCCAATTTCAAACACCTTATCAGTCTACCTGACATCGGTACTGACCAATCATTTGATGATGTAGCGGAAATTATCTTCACTCATCGAAATGATCTATCAACACCGACATCGTTGGATAAATCGATTACGAATGATAAGAAATGGTTTTCTCACACAGTTCAACATTTAGGTATTAAGGAAAGTTTGATCGACTGGGTTCGCGACAAATCCCAGCTTGCCAATGATACTGATCCTCTGCATCAACTATTCGATTTCAATCATCCACTGCAGGATCAGACGATGAAGTATAACTCTCAATATACACAAATTCATTATTCTCATCCACAGATCACTGAGTCTCAATATGTTCAATCACGTTTTGCTTGCGAACGTAAACTTATCTCCATCTATGCTCATTATACAATCTTAAATATATTGAGATTTTGGTCGACAGACGCGACGAATCCTATTCGATTGGAAGTTTTTGGCGATTATACATTTATTATCACGTTGTTGAAATTGTTAGATTATCATTATACGCACACGCGTTCATCTCTCGATGATCATATCGACCGAATGAGCTTAGTGATAACATCAATGTTGAAAATCGAGGTTAATGAATTGCGAAAATATCAGAATGACAATTCCAGTCAATTCAATAATGAAATCTTTCAAAGGAAAGCTCCTTTACTCTATCAATTGCAAAAAGATATGATTTATCAGTGGATTCGACTTCTATCGGAACCAGCTAGGATCATTTTCGATAGTGACGACGATGAAATGAATCTCATCAACAAACAATCGATCATTCAACGGCCAAATTTGAGATATCTGATCAAAATTTTTCATATATTTCTTGAACTTTCTCTTGATGACACAGCAAAATTTCTCATTCCGCTATTATTTTCTTCGTTGTTTACTAACCTATTATTCGACATTTTCCTCCTAAGTCAAACCTATCAAACGAAAATCTTCGTTTTACACTTGTTTTGCATGTTGCTTCAGCAAAGTGAACATTTTTGTTTGCACCACCCGATTCAATCGTTTTTATTCCGTTTATTTCTTGAAATACCACCGAGCGCAACATCGGCAAGCAGTCGTCGAATGAAAACATTTCAAATCAACCTGATGGACATCGTTTATCTACTTATTCGAAGAGGTGATCAAGAATTGGATTTATCACCGAATTTCAAAGACGTTTTCTCAACAATTGAGCTGATCGATGCTTTATTTGGAAAAACGAATCTGTCCACCGATGTAACGGACACGTCATCTTATTCCTTTGATTCGATTGCTGATCAACAGCTAATGAGTTTTCTCAACGATTATCCGTCGACTGGATTGTCGATTACTGAGCTAATCGATAGTCTACCAAATGAAGAAGTTCCGAATTCAAATTACTACAAAATCTATCCATCTCTATCACATATATCTGCACTGCATATAAAGAAACGCTGTGAATTAATCCATCGCTTCAATTTATCTCTAACAAAAGTAGTACCAATTTTAGATTTCAACTTGCTACCAAACCAAAGCGTCCTCATTGACAAAATACGTCTTGCTCGACTATATATTTTACATCCAATCAAATCTGAGTTTCTCAATTCATCAATACTTTCTACTGCGACTGAACCAACTGAAATCTTAAGCGTCAACTTCGATACCGTCAGTGCTTGCGATGTTCACAGAACGAGTACATCGACGATGTTCAATCAAGCGTATGAGCAGCTCTATGCCAATGCTCATCACATTTTTCGCATGCCAAGCGATCATCTATGGCGAGCACAATATATTGGCATGCATAGTACTGACCAAGGTGGTCCTTATCGTGACTCGATCACACGTATATGTGCGGATATATGTAGTAGTTATCTGCCATTGTTTATTTTATGTCCGAATGGGAGAATGAATAATGGTTTAAACCGCGATCGCTGGATTCCTAATGTATTTTCGCCGTATCAATCAATTCCGGATAAAATTAAGAAACAATATCAATTCGTTGGACAACTAATGGGAATGGCTATTCGAAGGAAACATTATTTAGATCTGAAGTTTCCGAATTTATTATGGAAACAGTTAGTTCATGAGTCGATTACACTAGAAGATATTGAATCGATCGATGTCCAAAGTTTCACAATGATCAATGAAATAGAAAAAACTATGAAACAGATGGAATCCATCGAGAATATTGACGAATTGTTTTCTAGTATGATGGGTGATCTTCGATTCGAAGTTGTAAGCTCAGCTGGACAAACTTACGAAATAATTCCTGACGGAAAAGAGGTACTGATTACAACAAAGAACTTCAGAGATTATTGCCACACTTACCGTGAATATCGTCTGAATGAATTTCAACGACAGATTGAATTCATTCGACAAGGTTTGTATAATATAGTTCCTGGTTGCTATTTGACTCTGTTCACCGCTCACGAATTGGAAGAAGCAGTATGTGGAAAAGGGCATATCGATATTGAACTACTAAAACGAAACTCCAGTTATGGTGGTGATTACAGTATCGATTCGCCAACGATTCAGCAGTTTTGGACTGTGATAAGTGATATGATGAATGAAGAACAGAAAAAGTTATTTCTAATTTTTGTTTGGGGACGATGTACATTACCTAATCGAGATGAAGATTTCACCACTCAGTTTACTATCAGTCCATACGATATTGATGATGGTGACGTCGATAAAACACTACCGAGTATGGATTGTATCTTTAAAGTGTCTGCCATTTGTTTCTATATTTTCTGTTGTTGTTAAGATTCACACACATGTTCATTTGCACTTGATCTACCGAGATACTCTACAGCTGACATCATGTATGAACGCTTAAATTATGCGATTACTTATTGTTCAAGTATCGATGGTGATGGTATGATCAATGATATTCCCGCTGCTCCAGAATTCGATTCGGATCTTAGTGCTAGCGAACAATAATTAGATTCTCTCTTACATTCGAACTTTTTTAGAATTTCTACTTCTATCAATAGTTTCACGACAAGATAACGAAGGCATAGAATCATGATAGTCATAGCTTCGTATGTTTCGATATCGTATACGTGTCGTTTGTGAAAACGTGAAATTAATAAATGGCATCTCAGTCTATTTTTACACGATACATGTGAAATAGATCGTTGGCGGAACGAGATCGAGGCGTCTATTGTTGAAGTTGAGAATCAACTCTGTTTTTGAACTATTTTTCACTCGACTGATGGTCAACATTTGTCGTTCTAGGAAGTTGGAAATGTTGAACGATAGTTGCTCAGGTGTAACTGTAAAACAATCTGAGCATTGATTTGCGTTTCACTTGTCGAATTACCTGTCTTCGTAAATAACATCATTTCCGGTGCTCATGCGAATACTTGTTCCTGTATTCAATAGATCGATCACCATCATCAATATTTATCATTCAATGTAAACCTTTGTACTGCCCTTCTATGCATTGCTTGAAAAAGCAATTTGTTATTATGATTAGGGGTGTTACTTTATCTTTACTTTACTTTTAAAGTAAAGACTTTTCTTTATCTTTATTTTATAAAAAAATAAAGATTGACTTTATTCTTTTTCTTTATTTTTAAAGTAAAGATTATCTTTATTCTTTATTCTCTTTCTCGTAGAGAAGAGTCTTAGAAACATAAATTGTTTCTAAGACTCTTCTCTACGANCAAAAATTGTAAAAAAATTCTTTATTCTTTATTTTAACTTTATTTGAAAGGTAAAGATTTTTCTTTATCTTTATTTTATAAAGAATAAAGATTTTCTTTACTTTAAAAATAAAGGAAAAAAAATAAAGAAAATCTTTATTCTTTATAAAATTAAGATAAAGATTTTGCCTTTACTTTATTCTTTATTTAAAGAAAAATAAAGATAAAGTAACACCCCTAATTATGATTATAAATAGTTTCGATTGAGTCTCCTTCTTTACTACATACCCAAAGGTTATATTTTCGTTCTAGTATATTTGTTAGAGATTATGACGTGTCACTGGATGAGTAATCGCCTATATGATAATTTGATCAGTTACAGAGTGATAGAAAATTTTACAATTTTTATATTCTGTTAACTAAAATAAAGAGTAGATTGTACAATTACTGATCAAAATACATAATTTCAAAAACAAGACCAATGATAAATGGCACGTACATCGACGAGGGAAGTAAACGCAAAAGATAGAGGTGTAAATAGGATGTGTTTATAAGATAAGAACAAGTTAAATTTTTCCCCCATTTTCCTTCCCAGCAGAGACATGTTGTTCTCTGTCAGTGTGCTTTTCCCTTTGCAACAGGACCTTCAATACTACATAAAACGTCGATCGAACGCACTGTAAACACTACTTCTTCAATTATATGATTATTTTAATCTGATCAAAAATGATAATGATAAATTACTTTACGAGCCTGATGTTTATTTCTTTAAAGTTACAATGGATTCATTCACAAAACTTCCAAGGAGACTATTCTACGCGAGCACGGTTTACTGCTAGTACGCAGTTGAATGACAACCTCACGCCACCATTTAAAGAAATGACATGGGCTGAAGATGATGCTAAACAAGAAGTTGTCAATTCAATTCGTGAACAAAAACTGATTGGTTCATCTGGTAATCCACGCGTAAATTCTGAAATGCATGAACTTCTAGGACATTGTATAAAACGTATGAAACTGCTTACTTCCGAAAAGTTATATTTTGCCTTTTTCTTCAAAACTAGGATGTAATCCAAAGCTGAAAGAGGCTTGCTGCTCCCGTAAGTTGTTCAAAACAATTTATCTCTACTTCTTTGGCGTTCGCCTTATTTTTCAGAGTTTCATGTATGTGGATTAACGTATAGATGTTTGACAAAATCTAATCTCAATAATCCCGGGGAAAGCGAGACTTCTTCGTTGTTGCGTCTATTCATAAAGGCCCCATTGGCCCCATTGGCTTTTGTTTCCGTGCTTTGCTGTATTTACAGATGTTGCAAAGCACATAAACAACCCAATAGCATCATACAGAGTAGCAATCATATAACAAGTCGATCCTCCAATGTGCTACAAACGAATTTCATTCGAGCTCCTACGTCGTTATATACACCTGAACCTGTTAATCAATCGCTTTCTCTCTCGATATCACCTGCTGTCTCTGAGCAACACTCTTCCCTTTTACCACCAGCATACAACGAATTATTGCGACAGGAATCGATTAGAACCGAAGAACCACCTACACCACCGCCAACCTATGAGGTTTTTATCAAGAAAACAATTGAAAATTGAATAGTAAAAATATGATTTATTTTCAAATATACCTTTCGTGGCTTGAATAATAAAATAGACATATTCATATCACATCCTTATAGTGTGTTGAAGGTTGTGTTATGAGAAAGAATGAGACGAAGACGGGTGATGAAAAGTTATTACTTAGATGTTATTAAGTAAAAGAACAGAAAGAAATGTTAGAAGCGCCTAATTTATTTCAAACTGGCTCGACTTTTGATCTGTAGATACAAGTGTCGTTCGTATTGGTAAACCAAATTTTTTATGCACGTTTCAAAGATGCTCCAACTACAACTAAGACAGTAAAGATAAAAGTGTAACTTTTGATTCGATGACATATCGACTAAGCTTTATCATCGATAGATGCGTCTTCACTCAGCACCTAAGCGTGATTTTCTTGCTCTATTCCAGTACTCTTCCGGCTAGGCTGCGTCGTTTTGGCCACCATTCGTTTTTGCTGCAATCTGTCTAAATGCTTGTACTATACTCTGATCAACCGAAGAATTTAAATCACGGCTATAACAAAGCCAAATAGCAATTCGAAAACAAATCTCGAGTATTATTGCTACTTGATCAGGATTGCCAACTAAGTATAGCTCCAATGCGTCACCTGCATCTTGATAATTGCTTTGGCCTATCAAGTATGTCGGACTACAACCTTTATATAAACACCCGTCCTAACAGTACAAAGCCGACACTCATGGTAGAACAAGAAAAACAATAAGAAGTTACCGGATAATTTTCACATGTGTTGCCTGTTTCAACCATTGGATCATGCTCAGCAGATTTCTCTGCACTTTACGTTATGAAGAAAACTGATTGACATTTTCCAAAGCTAATAAAATATAATAATTAATTTCTAATTTCTTCCATGTCAACAGGAAATTGACCGATAGTTATTATCGTTTCAGAGCACATTGAATATCAGTTAGCCTCTTTTTCGAATTATTTCTTATATTTACCGATTAACTATTTGCTGAATAAATATATTTAACATCTACTTGTACAGCAGATACGTGTTATGCACGAAATTAATTTGTTGTAGAGCAAAAAAGCCAAATATTTATTGCACTTATTCAACACTCACATGTTTGCATCTAATTCGTTATTTTTTTATTCTTTTTATTTCAGTGTAATATGACGGAGAGTTGTTATCTTTGCTTTTTCTTCTTCTAGCGAAAAGAACTGGTATAGAAAATAACGAAAAAGGTAACAACATTCTGACAATGATGTATATAGTCTTGTCATAAAACGATTGTGTTCCGCATTGACTTTCGTAATTTGTTTTCGAATTACACGATCGAGGTAGAGAAGAACAAAAATGAATCGTGAATTGGATGACAACGAGTTATCAGATCCGCCGAATAGTAATCATACGAAAAAACAAAGTTCAATATACGTCGTTCCTGATGGCGGGTGGGGTTGGGTTGTTGTCTTTGCATCTTTTATGATTCACTTTATTATGGACGGGTAAACTATTTGATGAAAGTAGCTATCTTTTAAAACGAAACATTATGTAAATATATAGAATTACATACTCAATGGGTGATATTTATTTGGAACCAATGTTAACAAGTTTACGTTACAACCGTGGTCACGTCTCAATCGTTTTTGCTTTCTTGGAATCAATTACTTTAGCCGCAGGTTTGTTAGATAAAACATCGAAATATGATAAGTTTATTTGGTTTGTTGTAGCACCTATTTCAACTGTATTTACAAATACATTTGGTTCTCGAAGAATTACCATCATCGGCGGGATCTTAGCGTCGTTTGGTTTTTTTCTTAGTCGATGGTGGACTAATGTGTATTGTTATTATATTACGATCGGTTTGATCGCAGGTATTGCATTAAAGATTTATGTTTTCCTCTCGATCATTTTCATTTTGTTCAGGTATCGGCTGTGGTCTTATGTATTTGCCAGCTATCGTCTCTGTTGGATATTACTTTGAGCGCAAACGTTCGTTTGCAATAGGTATTGCAGATTGTGGATCAGGTTTAGGAACCGTTGCGTTTCCATTTTTCATACCTTGGGTGATGGAACGATTCTTTTCGAATGATTATAAAGGTGCCCTTCTATTCGAATCAGCATTGCTATTTATGTGTGCGATTTTCGGTCTTCTCATGGTAGATCATTGACGAGAAGTTCTGATTGTATATAAGTACGAGATTGATTCTGTTTAGGTCCCCCTTCCCATCGAATTAAGTGAACAACGTCGTGCACGAATGAAACTACGTGAAGAAGCAAAACGACAAGCTATGAAGGCAGTAGCTTCGCAGAAAAATGATAAAGCAAATCAAGTACTGGTAGACCAGCAAAGGTATATTTTATCCGTCGTTATTTTCAAAAGTATTGACTTAAGAGAACGTCAGGATAAAATATATTCTCCTTTCTAAGACATTAACCGTTCTGTCCTTATTTCAGTTTGCCATTTCTTGACGCGCCACTGAACAAAAACTCAAATGACTATCGACGTTCATCTTACGATCGCCGTTACACGTCACCATCATTTCTGCATGCTTTACCCGAAAGTCCAAGTGGCAGTACAAGTAGCGAACACGCTTGGAAGTCGTTGTCACAATTATCAACAACACAACTTCGATCGATAGAAGCGATACGAAACAATGTTTTATATAAGGGAAGTCTACGTCGAGTGTCTTTACCCAACCCGGTGAATGATGCTGATCCTTATAAAGACAGAACTGCTCAGACGAATAAGCTAAGAAGTGAAGAAATACGAAAAGTTACAATAACCTCCTACCATGATGAGGAATCGGAATCAATTATAAGACAGTTGTTAGCACAACTTAATCTAAAACTTCTGCAAAATCATGCATTTGCTCTGTTCACCTTATCGAACTTCCTGTCCAGTCTGGGCTTTTTCGTTCCGTATAATTTCGCCCATGACCTTGCTAAAGATTCTCGAGTCGAAGAAAGCCATAGGAAGTTTGTCATTATGGCTATTGGTTTTTCAACTTGTTTCGGCCATATTATTATCGGCTATTTAGCAGATCGAAAATGGGTATGAACAGAGGGAAAAGAAAAACGATGCAATTTCTTTTAAATTACCTTCTAGGTCAACCGTTTAATCCTCTATAACATAACCTTAATCATAGCCGGTATTGCAACGATTCTTGCTCCATACAGTGGCTCTCATATACTTCCGCATATACTTTATGCTTCGCTTTTCGGTTTCTTTTCTGGTGGTTATATCGGCTTAACATCAGTTATTACCGTTGATCTTGTTGGTTTATATAAACTATCCAACGGAATGGGTATAATTCTACTTTTTCAGGGTATTGCAACTGCTATCGGAACACCTGTAGCTGGTAAATTGATCGATCTGTTGATTTCACTCGTTTCTATTCATTTGTGTTTAGGTGCAATGCGCGATGCATTCGAATCACATTCGAATCCATTTCTTTGGTCTTACTTGGTGTTCGGAGGATTTGTAGTAATAAGTGGTGTTATTCTATTTGCCATTCCAGCGTTAAATCGAAGACAAAAAGATCTACAAACTATAGCTAATCATCAATCAAACATGTTGATAGTGACTTAAATAATCTATTTAGTATATGAAGATTTCCAATAGAAATAGTATATTATGTTCTTCTCTTTCCTTGTTTTCACGAAAGTATAATAAATAGTCAAACTGAATTCACGTAAAATAAAGAATAAGAATTTACTGTGGAATTTTTCCTGGTTGCACACTTGTATAAAAATCGAAACGCAAATTCTTACTCGAGAAAACGCCTGCTGAGGAACATTGACTATGAACAATGTTCCTCTTCACGTTCGATCCATGTCACGCGAACGAACGAAAGAAAGAATCATTGATAGAATTCGTGACTAAACCAGCATCATTACTATTCTAAGAAAAAATGATTGTTTTAGCAGCATATTTATTCGTTTTTTTTTTGGAAAAAAACATACATGATAAAAAAAAAGATCTCATATTTAATCTTCAGCTGTTTTGTTGTCACGGGATATAGTCATAGCATCGTAATAACGTTTGTTAATCAGTCGTGTCCATAGACGTGTCAATTCAAAAGTCTGTTCCGCCCAATTCATCATTTCATTCAAATCTAATTTTGTTTTTTCAGACGTGGAAGATGATTCCACTTCCTTCTTATTCGACAGTATTTGACTAAAAACATTAATGTCGAGTATATCACGAGCCCAACGTCCTTTCCATTTCCGTCTCGGTTGCAAAGTAGATTTGATGTCGATCCATGATGGATACATATCCGAATCGTCGCCATTCAAAGCGAGCAGATCAGTAGATTCCGTTGGATCATATCCGAGATGATATAAATGTACTTCATCATTTGTGACATCATATGACAATTTTCTCGGGTATTGTCGAGCGATTGCAAATGCACCGCCAGGATTCGCTAAACTGAATGTCAGTCGTTCAGCTTGCTGTTCGACTGGCATTCGAAGAATAGATCGACCTTCATATCGAGAAAAGATCGATTGAAGTTGCGTTTCCGAAACCGTTAACAAGCGATTCGTTGATTTTTTTCTTGATTTTGCCGACGATAATAATATATCCATAATTGTTGGTAAAATATCTATTGTACTGTATTGCTCGGTAAGTGGTTTAGCTATCAGATGTGGATTATGAAACATTAATGGAACTGAAAAAGCTGGCTCTAAAGGATTACTTAATAATCCTCGTATCTGACTACCATGGTCATTAAACACATAACCATGATCACTGACTACAATAAAAAGTGTGTTGTCATAGATGTGACGTCGTTTAAAACCTTGAATAATATCGCCCACTAATCTATCACTGACATGTAGAGCATTAAGAAACGAATTAACATAGATATCATCAATAAAATCTTGATATTCTCTTGAATAATAATCATCTGGTACAGTAAATGGTTCATGCGTTCCAGTCGCTAATAAACTCATAAATAACCGACTAGGTCTCGCCTCAGCTAACCTTTCATCCAACCATTTCCATACGAACGGTAAAATATGCGTGTCCTCAGGACCAAACATACCGACATCGGGAAGATATCCTTTCTTTTCATAAACATCTGCTGCATCATATATCTTATCGAATTGAAATTGTTGGAATAATTCCTGTTGATGATCGAAATCACCGCGCGCAGTGGTGAAGATTGCTGATTGGAACTTTGATTGATTACTCCTAGTTCGAAATGTATCGTGAAGCAATTCCGGTATGCATTTTTCATAGAAACCATCCTTGTATTTGATTTCTTTGAGAAAATTCCCAAGAAGCGGATAAATCCCACAAAAAATACTCACGAGACTTTTTAACGTATATGATGAAGTTGACCAAGCGGTTGTACGAACGGAGTTTTCCCATAACGAGTTGAGAAATGGTGTGACTTTCGCAGCATTGGTTCCTGAGGAAAAACTAGCGCGAACAGCTTTGGCGAATGATTGATTTAACGGAACTGTATCAGCACGCACTGATTCAAGAATAATAAGACAAACATGTTGAACTGGCTTTTTCAAAATAACTGATGGTTGAGAAATATTGACAGACGGCGCACGGATTGCTTGTATTACAGCATTCGAGACGCTTTCCATTGTGTGAAATGACATGAATACAAATGCTTTCCAATGGTATGCAATTGTTTCTGGAAAATATGTCAAAGCCATATTCGATGACAAGTTTCTGTATATCGGTGGAATAAAATCGAAGATACTGAGAGATATATGTGTGAGAACAATACTAATAATCGAGAATTTGATGATTTGAAAATAGCTGGCATTTAACTCGATATGATTCGGTATGTACCGGTATGTAACTGACCAAATAGTACAGCCAAGAAGAAAATAAGAAATTAACAGCGAAATGAATGAATATACATGTGGAGTATACAAGCTGTACGTCGCTTCAAAGTCAACTTCGAATACAATCTTCCATTCGATATTTCGACCTGTTACTGTTAACATGATGATATTGCACGTTGAAACGAGAATGACAAATATTGCGTAACATAAGCCTATTAGGATACCGTATATACCATACTGTGGATATTTCCATCCGATATAAACTAATAATGTGTACAAAATAAGAAGAACAAAGAGATCAGGAAGAATAATTAACCATATTGAAAGAAGTACATTTGATGAGAAAACTTCCTGATTACCATAATAATGATATACTAATACTCGATTGGCGCAGAGAGCAACCAAACAAATTGATAGTACACCTGTCGTCAGACTAGTTTAAACCATACAGTAGTAAGTGAGAGAAAAAGATCTAGTTACTTACAAACTTTGCCAATCGATACGTCGCATGTGAAGAACAATTCCATAAACAAGACTGCAGTAACGTCGATGAAACGCCGTTTTTGAAAGTTGCTTATACTATAGGATCTACATGAAACAGAAGGAGAAAATTTCGTTCATTTGCTTGTGCGTTAATATATCGAAGTTTTTATATGCAGTCATGCGTTTAACGACAGCATGTATCTTGTGTTGATCACATTTGCAACGCAACAAGAAAAAAGAAGAGAAAGAGAACATGCATTTGTCGCCAGGACGCAACACTTGGATTTATTTATGCACATATCTTTAGAGCAGAACGATAAAGCTTTAACCATTCTTCTGTTTGTTGTATCGCATATTCGCTTAATAGATATCATAATGAAATAAATTTAAAGGAGAATTTCAAACAAAATATGAGCGATTTTCATTTTGTTCCCTATTACACAACCGCAGTGTATGTAATAGTCAGATGGACTGTGCACATCCTCTCCTTTGTCTTCTTCTTTTTGTAAACATTGATTAAATGTGTTCGAGTCAAATATTCTAAATTCAACTCGTTATTTTAAATGATGCAAATAAGGTTTTGAAAGATTAAGAGCTTCATTCTGTGAAAAGTGAATATTCATCATTGGAAACTTCTTTTGCTGTATGGTTAAATGAATCATATTAAGATAGGTTAACTTGGGGTTTTTTTTTGGCTTGGTAACTTGATCTTTTCACGTCAATACAAATATTTTGCATCAATTTTCAACGGCGTTACTGATAAATCTTTTGTTTTAATCACAATATGAGTCAGATAAATATGGGATTTCATCAATAAAACGGGAGAAATGTTTAGATAACTGCTTGCTTCTTGAAGGTATAAATTTTTTGTGCATACACACCGAAATTACCATTCCGGCCTTGTAAAGTACGACTTTAAAATGCAACTTGTCGATGACAGTAGCATCTCTGCAAGAGTAGTTCGCCGATATAGAATGCGAAATCGAATACTGATCATTGCTTCCGCGATTTTATCAATTCTTCTCATAATCCTGATGTCCTTGTTAATTCATCGTGCACGAAAACAACAATCACTACCTGACGTATACGAAAAGGGACACGGTTCGCCGATGTCGTCATCATCATCATCAACAATAACAACAACAACAGCAACAACGTCTTTCGTTGGCACTACCCCCGCTGATACTAGTAAGAACTAAAAAGAAGGAGAAGAACTATGACAAGGTTGATATATATGGTATCTTTCTTTAAGGTTCATCGATTATTACTAGTACTAGCACTACTGTCACTACTACTAGTGCCTCAAAACCTTCGTTAAAGATTTGCTCGGCAGCTACTTGGTCCAAGAAAGGAATCACTGTCGCTGGCGGTACTAATAGTGGCTCTGGTTTGAATCAACTTACTATTCCAGTTGACATGTTTGTCAATAGTGAAGACGCTATTTATATAGCAGATTCTTTCAATCATCGTATTGTGAAATGGAATCCAGGTGCCAGTGAGGGTATAGTTGTTGTTGGTGGTGGTACTGCAGGAAATCGAACACATGAACTAAATTACGTGACCGGATTATTTGTTGATAGCGAAGAAAGTATTTACGTAGCAGATAATCATAACCATCGAGTTCAAAAATTCAAAAAAGATAGTAAACATGCAACAACATTAATCGGTGAATATGGTCCTGGTAGTGGTATAAATCAAATTAATAATTGTTGGGGTTTATATGTTGACAAAAAATTCAACATCTATGTGTCGGAGCATTCGAATCATCGTATTACAAAATGGTCTCCGGGTGCAAAAATAGGACAGCGTGTTGCTTTCGTCTCCAAGCCATTAGGTATCCATGTTGATGAATCAAACGATGATGTTTATGTTGCTAGTTACAGCGGCGATTGTGTATACCGTTATAGTACAGATCGTAAGCCTGTGCAGAGAATTGGCGAAAAAGTACTTAATAGCCCGTACGATTTTGCATTTGTACCCGGCTTCGATTCGAATAATCGAGATATCATCATTGCCGATAGCGAGCATCATAGAGTAGTGAAAATGAATTTGGATGAGCCGGATCTAGTAACAATTATTGCTGGCATCACTAATCAAGGAGGTTCGTCTGCAGAAGAATTCAATGAACCACGAAGAGTTCGTTTCGATTCCAAAGGCAATTTACTCGTACTTGATTCAAACAACAATAGAGTGCAAAAATTCTTGATAGAAAACAACAAATGCGATAGCTAGTTCGAAAATATCCGTTTTTTTTCTTTTATATATGTATATTCCAAGGTAAACATCTCTACTCGTTAATAAAGGACCGATTGAAGTTATTAGTTCTTGTTATTTCAAAGACAAAGGTAAAAAGTACTCCTTGTTATATGAGAACATAATTGGCTTATTGCAATTATAACAGCTGATTAAAATCGAGTTTGATTTGCAACGTTGATTTTCGATAATGATGCTAGCTTATCAATGTCCTAAAGATCTATTTCGTAGATGCACATAAGAAACATAAACTTAACTTACGATGCTATTGATCTTCGTTATTGGATCCACACGATCATATCTACAACGAGAGAGTTCATTAAACGAGGTGCACGCATATTCAAAGTCTTACCTTTTAATGATTCTTCTCATTAAAATACCAATCAGAATAAGAATACTAAGCGCAGTCAATATTGTCGCAATGACAATGAGTAAAATGGGCCATCTCTGAAAAGAGAAAGAGAATGTTAACTTCTAAAACATCCGAGAAGGAACATATACGGTGGTAAATGGATGAGTTGTTGTTGGGCACTAAAATTGGACAGAGAAATATACTTTTTTGAGTGAATTCTAAACGATAAAACAAAGTCGATCACATACTTGTATACCGTTTGATAATGTGTTAAAATTGACACAAGTAGTGTCAAACTTAAGACCATCTGTTGTTCTGCTTGCAGTTGGTTCAATGCCGCTACCAAGTGCCATGGCAATTTTGAAATTTGCACTTGAGCCATATTTGATGATTCTTAGAACTCCATCGGTGTTATTGTACGTCGCATTTTGATAGTTATACAACCAACCTTTAAGCCAACATTGATTTCGTCCTCTGATTATAAATATGGAAAGATTATTTTCATATCCTACTGTGATATTTGTTTCTTCTGGATTTGGACTTAGCTGCCAATGCCAAGCATGCGACAGAACATCAATAAAATGATCTTGTAAAGCAATGATTGTTTCAATACGATTCCTTTTGATCATATCAACAAGAATACTTCGTTGAGCACATGAAATATTGAAATTATTGCTAGCATCAAGAGAAACATATCCACCACCTTGATTTTGAAACGGCTTCACTAATGTTGTATAACCAAGTTTGTGATTTCTGGATGGTTCTCGAGGCCATCCATCAATCAATGGTGTGCTGAATTTCTTTGTTTGACTGGAATATATAAATTCCTTTCCTGGCATTCTTGCCCAAGTGGTGTCATGGCTGATGATGGACAAAGCGAATGTTTCATTCGCATTCCAACCATTACGACGTCGATTTCTATTTACTAGTGCAACTAACACATCGTTCTGATCTTGATAGCGATTTCGAAAAACATAAAATCCTTCGATATTGTCAACGATCATCGAAGTCGAACGCGGAAATACAACGTGAGGAGATTGTTCAGGAATGTCATAAGGATAATAGAATAGTGCTGCACATTTATCTTTACCATCGAACGCGGATGGTGACGAATTCATTCCCATGGTGCGATCATAAAACCATTTGAGAGCAGCTTTGACATTTGGATCAGTAGTGGAATTGAATATGTATGGCAGAAGCCCATTATAAGCATAGGTAGGTGTCGAAACACCAAACTGTAGAGCGTTTCGTTCTTTTCGAAATGAAATTATATGTAATGCCAGATTATGCCAATCAGGTCGAGACCAAGCGTCGTCGAATATCGAAAGGCCCATATCTTTTGTTAGATAAATAGCTGGAGCGAGGATCGGAATAGTATACGCAAGATAATTTAAACCTTCTTGCGTGTAGCCCGAAGGACCATAAGCATGACCAAGATGTAATTGGAGTTCATTGAATAGAAATAGAATTCGTCGCTCTGCTTGATCATGTGGATACTCTTCTTCACCGTAAAGAGTTAAATGTTGAATCAATTCTGCTGATTTAATAATAGCCACCCAGTTACTTGCTTTATCATTTGGATTTCGCGAATGATCATCTGTGAAGTCATGCAACTATTTTGTACCATTGGAATCATTTAGTACGTACCTGAATAAGATGCAAATATCGATGCAGTATACTGGAAATCACGTACGAAGAATTGACGTTGTTCTCGATTTAATCCATCGTAGATCCAATCGAAAACTTGTGCTCGTGCCATGGTACTGAAAGCAAAACGAAGTTTAATCGCAGAGTTATCATAGATAGTATAATTCATGCTGTTTATTTCTAGTGCCGCTAATGCCAAATTGATATATTTTTTATTTTTTGTTATCGCATAGAGAAGAGCAGCATCTCTTGCCAGCCAACAATAACTATAAATACTATCAGGTTTGTAGCTATAGACAGATTTAATAAGAGCCTTGAATACTTCTTGTGCATGTCCTACTCGATCGATTTGCTCACGAATAAACGCAAGACGCGTTGACGTAAGAACAACACGTGAACGTGTAAGATCTGCAAGTTTAGCAGTAGCTGTTTGATTACCATCGTCTGAGACAAGAAGAAACAAATCATTCTTGGTCCATGGAACGATTGTTTTCATCTCTTGAACTGCATAAACGCCTAAAATCTGCGCACTCGTACTGTTGACATCCGAGATATGATCAATACCATTATATAGGACTATATATTTAGCCGTACTTCTGCCATCAAGTTGCCAACTGAGATGAATGCCATCTACTCTAGGAAGAGCAATCAAAGTAGTAATAGTATAGTAGTTTTCTGTGAGATCTGCTTGACCAATAATAAGTTCCGTTTGTGCAACAATGCTTCGATTTAGATATCGTGCTATTACTTGATATGTATAGATTGTACTCAAATGAACGGTATGATCTGTATACATTGATTCATAGATGTTTTTTCCGTACGTTGGTATTACGGGAATCGTAACTAGCAGATGTGAGGTATTGAGTGTTGACAATATTTCTTTACCTCGATAGATTTCATAGAATGCAATCTGTTTTGTATTATTTGTAAAGTTCCATCGAATAAATAATGTCCCGTCTGATCGTGGGGATACGAAAAAGTTAGCACTATTCCACCAATGATTAGCTTGTTCAATAGAGATATTGGCGAGTAGAATGGTTCCGACACTACGATTCATTGTCAATAGAAATTTCCCAAAGACTGCTTTGGAAGGAATCGGTTTTGTTATTTGATGGTAAGTCCACGTTGAATTTTTGAAAAGAGATTTTATATATTCGCTCATAATGCTAACGTTCGATTGATTGTAGAATTCGAAACGAACACTGGCTGAATTTTTCACGAATAACGTCTTGTACCAGAAGGATAGGTAAAGAAACCGTTTATTGGTATTCTGCTCTAGTCGAATCATTTGAGTGAAGGTCAGTGCGGTTGGATTGATGTGCGCTGAAATCTGAAAGACATTGAGTGCTAGATATTTCCGAGGAAGAACTTTTAATGCTGCATTCCCTCGTTGAATAGTAACATTCCAATAATTCGGTTTCCCATTCGTTTGTACTTGACTAAAATCGCTGTTGCGCAGTAAATTGCCACTGAAAGGTGTTAATTTCACACTCAAGATTAAGGCTATCGTCGTAAGAAACATTACACAGTCATCTACACAAGCAAAAAAGATGCCTTGTTCGCAACCGTTGAAAGTATAAGAACGTTGTAGAGTGTAACGGAAAGTTAAAGAAACAAAGCAAGAAATATGATACTTGTCTTCTCTCACGACATGAAAGCAAGGGTGTTCTTTGAGATAGCGACTTGTTTGTCGACAATAACACGTGTAATAGAGACGATTCAAATTCTTTCTTGGTGAAATTCAATTAATTATAACACTAGAACTCTTCTATAGATTTCTGATTAGAGAAGTCGAAAATAAGTTTCTGTTAGGTGCTTAAATCTTATTACCCATCTTCTTTTCTACATGTACACCTAGCAGACGAGAAACTACGCCAGCATTTACCAATAATATTTTATTTTCAATGAAACGCTTTTTTTTCGTTCACAAAAGCTACATATACTTATATATATTTACAGGTAAAAGAACAAAAATATTTGTCTTATTAACAAACGTGTGTCGTCTGTTTATTCAATTTGCAGCAAATCATAAGAAGCATGGTACTTCTTAGTTACCTATTATTTATGAGGTATTTTAGTTGGTAAAAAGGAAGTTTCAGAAGGAAGAAATGATCATCTCCAGCATTTTCTTTAGATTTTAAATAAGCACAATGACACACGCTGATGATTTTACGTCTACGGAAAGAAAAATAGCACTTCTTATCGGGAACAAGAACTACAGCCAAAGAGAAAACCAACTATACCATGCCGTTAAGAACGTTGAAGACTTGCATCAAGTGCTGAGCAACCTAGGCTTTCAATGTACAGTTCATTTGGATATCGATAGAGACACAATAGACAAGATTAAAGTTTTTGAGAAAACGATTAGACAAGATGATCTAGTCGTCTTTTATTATTCAGGCCATTGCCGTCATGCTAATGGACAAAATTATTTAGTACCAGTTGATGATGCTAGAATTGATTCAGATGAAAATATTCCTGATTTTGGTGTGGATTTGTTGAGAGTAGTCGAACGATTATGCAGCAAAAACGTCAACAATGTCTCATTATATATACTCGATTGTTACAAACCGTATTTATTGAAAGATGAGCCGTCGTCGGAAGGTAATTTGTATTAGTTTACAATTTTCTTCGTCACACAAGTATCATCTATTTAATAGCGATTAGAAAACGACCAAAAGCAATGGAAGCTCTCCCTCGAACGTTTATTCAATATGCTTGTACTCCGAATCAACAAGATAGTGTTGTGCCACATCGCGGTCGCAATGATTTATATACTAAACATTTAATGGATATCATCTCACATGAAAATATTCAAATTGCGGATCTCTTCAAACGAATTTCACAAGGTGTATACCGAGAAAGCAACCAGAAACAGAAACCGCTATCGATGAATGGATTAGGTGGCTACGGAAAGAAGATCGTTAATTTCGTCGACTATAGTGCGTAAAATAAAATAGAACGTGTGTTATCTATATAAAAGTCTCTGTCTTTGAATTTAGATAGAATGATAAACGCTTATAATGATCGAATTCGTGATCTAAAAATAGAACTAGAAAAGTATACGATCCAGACGTCAATGGGCTCCAATTCAGCTGATCTATTCCATGCCAATAGAATACGAGTCTTGATTCATGAATTCACACAGAAACGGACAAGTTTGATTAGTAAATGTTATGCAGCTGCTCCTCGTGGGTAACATTTATTGGGGAAAATATTGATTGTTCTTCTCATCAGTTTAGGAATAAAACTTTTGAATCTAAATGTTAACACTGTTGAATATCGTTCACTAGATGAGCGATCATTTTCGAAACGTTCTAAAGAATTTTTCTTCTAAATCTCCAGAATGAACGCTGGAAAGTGCCAGAAATGTTATTCTCGGTCGTTCTTTAAGTTATCGATGAACGATGTTAAATACAAAGTTGGAAATATAGCTAACACCTTTTCTATACTCCATGTCACTCTTTTACAGAAAGAGAGAGTCATTCAATTGACTCCAAATGCTCGAGCTAATTCATGTCTTGTTTACAAAGAATCATTGTATGTCTTACTATTGAGAATGCAACACGCACATCGGGATACGTCTACAGTGTGTGAGCAGTGCCATTGTCTTGGAAGACTTTGACTTTTACTATCTGGTTGCTCTTGTGCGTTTGCCAAAGTCTAACTATTTATCCGACCAAACACAATTCTAGTCAGGTTAGTATTTGCCCCCATTTTCTGTCTGTGAAAATAATTTCTGTAATAATCTTGACTCGATTCAAGCTGTCAAATGTTTTCTTATAACCTCACACCTTGATTTCTACCTATAACTATTCTTAATTGACTTGCACGAAGTTCTCTCGGACGTATATATTTCTATGATTTTCATCTATACACAGATTGTTGATCGCATGTGAAAAGGCTCTCAAAAGTCTTAACATATTTTAAATGACTCCTCGGCAGATGTTAGAAGTAATGAGTTTGCGGAGGAGAAACGTAACACTGACTTCCTGCTCTTTTCTTTTTAATACGTCCAAATCCGAAAGAAACTCAATCAGAGACTGTTTGCAGTTTAGCGTATTATCACGATACATCAGCATGTCTTCGACAGACAACATTAAATATTTGAATTATATCAGTACACAATTGAACATCTATGTTGGTATAATTTTCTATGTTTTTGGCGTCTGGAGCAATATCTTTTGTATAATTATGTTTCGAACAGTAAAGAAGCTGAAAAGAAATCCGTCATCAACCTATATTTTCGCCGCATCTATCTGTAGTCTCGTACTATTGAATACCTCATTGCTTTCGCGCAGCATTCTACCCGGCTTCAAATTTGATCCATCATCACGTTTTTTCGTCTGGTGTAAATTGCGTCAATATCTTGGACAAGTCTCTGCCATAACTGCGCTCTTTTGCGTTGTCTGGGCAATGATGGATCAGTACTTGTCAACATCAAATCGTATTCGTCTTCGCCATTTATCAACCATCAAGAATGCTCGTCGATTAGTATTTTTAACATTCGTTATTTGGTTTCTACATGGTTTACCGTTGGTGATTAATAATCAAATTAGTGTCTTAGCGCCAAATAATGTCACCGTGTGCTCATTATCGAGAGATTTAACTTTTCAAACCTATACAGCTTATGTCGTGACTCCATTCTTCCTTGGAATCATACCTTCGTTCTTGATGGTTCTATTCGCGATTTTAGTTTATGCGAATGTGAATTATCTCCATCAGGAACAAATGCGCACGCGAATTCAACGACAACTAACACGGATGATCACTTCACAAATCGTGTTAATTCTGATTGGTACAAGCGCATATACAACTCTAACCATCTATACGTTATTAACTGTATCAGTACCAAAGGCACCAATCAGACAGGCACAAGAAAATATTGGCTTAACATTAGCATTATTATTGTCGTATACTGGTTACTCGTTTCATTTCTATATTTATATGTTTGTGTCGTCCTCGTTTCGAAAACATTTCAAGGAGCTCATTAGGAAATTCTTTCGCTATTTATCACATCACTATCGCGTTATTAACATAACAAAGCTACATGCACAAGGCCCAAGAAATAGTATGCAACGGTATACAGCGTGAAAAGAACATATTTCTTTTTTGGCAACGTCTGTATTTTTATGTGATCAAAATGTTCATTTCATTATGTTTATAGTAAAATCGATCTACTGTAAGAATTTATGTAGCGGTCTATGTGTAGTGAGAGATAGAAGAATATGAACTAAGTATGATCATGCCGTAGATCAATAATTTCTTCCAGGTTGACGTGTATTAGGAACTAAATGCATGGAATCATTTGGTTGTTCATCTAAAATTAATTAGACGAGCAAAACTGTCTGCCATTCAAATAAAGCACTTGTTCATACCTTGACGCTTGAGAAAGCGAGCTTCTTGGCAGAGTGCGCATGGACCACAGCAAATTGTTGCAAATAAATCGCCACAATGCGGATCTTCTCGTAGATCATATTTTTGTCGGAGTAGTTTTCGTTTCATATAATGCGGATACCAACAGATAGCACAATCAGTTAGACACATGTAAATGCAACACCAAAGACAACAATTACTATCATCAATTTTCTCAGCATTTCGCCCAAATAAACACGGCGTACAGCACCAACCACATAGGCAAATTCCGCAATTGTCAAAGCAACCAAACAATGATTCTACAAATAGAGAACTATTCAACTCGAATAAAAACTCATAATACTTACCATTCCATTCAACACTACCTTCCATACTTTGACTATCGCAATATTTTACCTTGTCTTTTTATATACAGCTCTGAACAGATGCACAGAACACAACAAAAATTGTCATTATATTTATACCGACGAAAATAGAGAGATATACTTAAATGAGTTTTTTTTTGTATCGTTTCATTGAGTCCATCTGTCACATTCTGATACTTCATCGGAGTGAAAGAATGACCATATTTTAGTTACATAATAAGAATTTGATGCTTGATCACCGCTATAATCGATTTCTCATATAGACAAGAGAATGACAAGCAAGGTGTGATTCTATTTTAAAGGTCACAAGTTAACTGAGTAAGACGACATGCAAACTGCAAGCTGATGAGTTTTTTCTATACTTTTTTTTTTTTATTTTTATTTGGCATCTTAACATGTTGGCCAAAGAGGCCCTAACAGTACATGGTTAGAAAAGAAGAGAGAATGTTACGTGTAGAAGAAAGGTAGACAAAAATAGAAGAGATTACATATTGACGAAAGTATTAGCAGTGACAGAGACAAGAAGAGAAGCATTAGAAAGAGAGAGACAGCCAGAGAAAGGAAAAAAAAAAAAGGAATAATAGGCCGCAGAAGAGAGTGGTCAGAAGGTTTCAGGAAAAGCAGCAAGAGTCCACACCTCGTCTATGTCATATTCGATAACAGAGTCATTCTCCGGTATGCTCGCACACCACGCAGCACATTTTTCGAGTAAGCTAGTATGACTACTGAATCGCTTGGTTCTATGAACCCCCTTAACGGGATAATATCTGCCTAACCACGACTCTCGAAAAAAATTTAGGTTAGCTTGTTCAAAGATGAGCCTGCCATCAGTTGTACTCGAGAGTGCGATAAAATATTTTTCCCAGTAAGTCCTACAACGATCCTCGAGTGACTTTTCGTTTAGCGCATAGGATACGAATTCGTTGCTGAAATGCAGACAGTGATAGATCCTTCTAAGGCAGACGAAGTAGAAATGGTTTAAGTCTTGTTGCTGATTCGGAGTGAACAATGGATAAACAGGAAATAGCGAAACGAACAACGGATAGACATATGCGAAGAAAAGAGTACGACGTAGCTTAGATGACGATCGACCAAACAATCGAAATGAGTTGATAAGCGCAACTCTCTGTCTGATCTTGAGTGTACATTTTTCAATCAGAGGACCGAATCCGATTTTGGGTGTAACGACGTACCCCAGATACTTAAACTGCTTTACCCAGATAATTGGATGTTCACCGCAACTCAAGTTGAATTTTGGATTACCAACGGCTCTCGCTGAAAAAATCGCCTGAGTCTTGTTGTAATTCAGTGGTTGAACCGACAAGATAGAGTAAAATTCGAGATCATCAAAGAAAAGTTTGAGTTTCTTTTCAAGATCTAGACATTGGTTTGAATATTTCATTCCAATGGAGCCGGCCAGAACGGCGGCGAGGTCATCAGCGAACATAAAGCTTAAGCAAGAACTTAGATACTCACTCATATCGGAGTGATAACAGATGAAAAGGGTCGGCGTAAAGCAGGACCCTTGCGGGCCCCCTCTAAATATGTGAAACCACCTTGAACGTTTACCACCAATTTCAACAAATGCGCGTCTGTTTCTTAGCCAAGTGTTAATCCATTCCCGGTAGTTTTTTGGGATGCCTAGCTTTTTCAATTTGCCTATACAGCCATCGTACCATAGAGCGTCGAATGCACTCTTGAAATCGACAAAAACAGATGTGACTGGACATCCGTTTGACATTAGGCTGAGTATTTGGTCGAAAAAGAGCAGAACTCTCGTTTGCAAGCGAAATTGTGAACGAAAACCTGATTGAGAGTCCGGAAGAAGACCACGTCTAGTAAGGACATCATTAAATCTTGTAAGGAAGATCTTTTCATTCACTTTGAGAAAACAGTCGATGAGTGAAATTGGGCGTGTCGCATCTGGACTACATATGTGATCTTTTTTAGCGAGTAATAGAACACGAGAGTCTTTCCATTTCGAGGGAAAAGAACTGTTCGAGAAAGAATTGTTGAAGATTTTAAGCAACAGTGACCAATACATTGAGGGAAGAAAGCGAAACATGTGACTCGAGAGGCCATTCGGGTCAAGAGATTTCTTTTTCTTGCATGAGTGAATGATTTCTACTAACTCGTTAAAATTGCTCAAAGGTATCATTTCATCCTCGTTGTCCCAGTCAGGTGCAGGGGGACTGTCTGTGTATGGATGAGGATGAATTACTTCAGGCTCTTGAAATAAGTTCTCATAATAGTCGGCTGCAAGCTCACACATTAGTTGCGAATCCTTAACCACTTCTTGGTTACTAGGATTTATAAATCCATGTAGCGAGGAATCTGAAGATTTCATATGCCTCTTGGTCTTAGACCAGAAAGAGATCGAACGAGAAGAACTGTTTCGTGATGCAATTGCGTTTGAGAATCTTTTAGAGAGAAACGCTCTCAACTCGGCTCTAGCGGTTTTCCTTCTCACTTTGACCGTATTATGTAGAGACAAATCTCCACTTTTCCGAGCTTTGAAAGACAGAGCTCTCGTGAGAGACATATATGATCTTAGCACTGGTGAAATTGCAATTCTATATTTTTCCAAAGGGAACAGAGTTGTGCAACGCGCAGTGAGAAGGTTGAGAAATGTGGTATAATCGTTGTAGATGGCGTCTAGTTGGTTAAGATTCCATTGTCTTTCCCAAAAGGAGAAGACGTAGGAAGTGAAACATTGAAATACTTTCCAATGAACATTCTTGCCATAGGCAATTTCTTCAAAAATGTGTGGAACATGGCAAATGATCGGTTTATGATCGCTAGACGTACCTAGTTCGTATGTTTGAATGTCGACAGAAAAACCTGATGAGATAGCATAATCGATCGTTCGATGAGAACGAAGAGAGGTATAGGATTCTGGAAGAAAGGGAGATAGTGCGTGATTGTCGGCCCACGATAGGAGAATTTCACCATTTGTTTTATCCTGGTTAAGATCAACATTGAAGTCACCGAAGAGAGCGCAGTTCGAGGTAATTAATGGGGACAAGTCGTCCCAGGACCAGGTCCTACTGTCCGATGCGTAAACACCTACAATTCTTAAGGCGCTGTTTTCCTTGCTATCGTCTATGATGTCAATCGCACATACATTCGGAACGTCGCAAACTATTCTGATGCATTTTAGAAAATTGCGAACAAGAACTAAACAACCACCGTGAGAGTTTTCTCCTTCCTGGAAAAAGTTTTTATAATTTGAGAAGGTTTCATTACAAAAAGTCTTATCGAAAGGGCCGGTTTCAAGTAGAATCATTATGTCGAAGCGAAAAGAGTTACATAATAGGGTAACTTCCTGCTGGCGAAGGTCGAAGCCTCTAACATTGAACGAGAGAATCGAAATCGAGTTGGACGTAGACGAAATATCTGAAATCCTGTGCTTTTCCCACTTTAGAAAGAGATTAGAGAGAAGAGAAGAACTTTCCCATTCGAAGAGAATTTCACACAATAGAGAGTAGTCAAATGGAGAAAGACACATTTGGGCATTACACAAAAAATTGTCACGAAAAGTAGAACCGAAAAGGGAAGAGGAAGGAGAAGAAGAAGAGGAACAGGGAGAAAACGAACGTGCATTTGGTGAAAGTCTCATAAAGAAAACTGTTTACCTGAGATAATTCGATCAATTATTTTACGTTTCAATTCGATTTGCAATTTGAAATCAGGGTCAACATCGTTTGTCGATTTTAGGTTTGCATGGTATAAAAATTGTGAGATTAGGTCTAGAGTGGGAAGTACGAATTTAACGATAATGTTACTGTTGTAGTCATTGGAATCTTTCGTGGCTTTGCCCGACTCGATCAGCTGTTCAATTTTATTTGCGATCAGTTCATCCTTCTTGATTTTGTCCTTCATGAAGTTCTCGAACTCGTTTTGCTTCGAACATAATTCACCCAGCATTCCTTTCATTTCGTTGATACCAGATAGCAGCTCGTCGAATTTTTGATGTGCAGGAGGGTATGTAGCAGGGAAAGATGTACCCGGTGGTGGCGGAGGAAGTAGTGGGTAATGAGTTGGATCGTGGTTCAGGTTTGAGTTGTAACTTGAAGTATTGGTTGATCGATTTGTCAGTAGGATATTTTTTGTAAGTGCAGCTCGGAAGTCCTTGACTATAGGGCAGCGACGAGAGTTTGATAAGTGAGCTTCACCGCAATGGATACATTTGACCACTTGAGAACAGACATGTTGGCGAAGATCAGGACAGCTGACTCCGCACGTTTTGCAAGTTTCGTTGGTTTCTTTGCATTGCTTCTTGAAATGTCCTATGCCACAGCATTTCGAGCAGATTAACACATCAGCAGGGCTAAGATATTCATCAATGTCGAAGACCATACTATTAACTTTGATTCTTCTCTCACGAAGTAATTCTTCACGTAGAGTTGTTGACAATAGTTCTAACTTAACCAATTTAATATCATTTTGGAATTTGTTTTTCAATCTAATAACTTTGTGTATGCCGACATACTTGTCCATTAATTCTTCTGTAAAATCGTACAGATTGATTCGCAGATCAACGTTTTTTACTACCAGAGCTAGTTGAGCAGGGAAGGACGGCGTTGTAAGAAACGTAAAACGTTCACCACCGATAGCTTGTGGCCATTTCGATTGAGAGAATAGCGCACAGAAAGAATCAGCATTTTTTGCAAAGATAAGGCAGTCGTATTCTTGGTTGGTACAGTTTTTTGTAGAAAGTCGAACATTGGTGAGCTGCAGATCAAACTGGTCGTTGTTCTTGAAATGTTGGACAATTTCTTCAGCTATCTGTTTTTCTTTGATACTACCAGAGTTAAAGCGAATAATGAAAGGCGAGAATGGGTACCGAGTTTGAGCATATCGTGTAGCAGACGTGGAGATGGAGTACTGTTGTTGTTGGTAGCGTGGTGGGGGCCCTTGATGTGAATCATTGGTGTTGACAGTGTTGTTTACAGAGGACCGTTGTTGTACTCCATGGTTGACCTGGTAACGAGTTGGATAGCGGTGGTGGTGGCGCTGTTGGGGAGGCGTATTGGAATACGTCGGATCAGGAGAGTCCGATAGATGAAGATTTTGATAGTTACGACTTTGTTGATTAGAGTCGCTGATGAAGTCGTTGTTGTGTGAGGTAGAATTGATGGGCTTGTGCTTTTTTGATTTGGACACTGTTGTAAAACCATCGTTGTCATCCGAGTCGTCACGTGTTCGTCGAGTAAGGGAGGGTGAATCAGCGGGACGTAAGTTGGAAGCGCTTGGTGCGTGAGCACAATTGGATTGATGATCAGGACGATAATGAAAATGAATGTTAGATTGTCGATCAAAATGCTCGAGAGCATCTTCGTTGTTGGGTTTTGGTTGTGCAGATCGACTGCTCGATGGATTGACATAGTGATTGGAATCACTTTGTCTCGAACTGTGATGGTAGTAGTGTTGACGATTTGTGAGCGTGTAGCTCCGAGACGAAGAGATGGAGCAGTGACTGAAGAGTAGAAGAGTGATATTTATTACTAAAAACATCCGGCTTAAATATCACAGTGAACAAAGAAAGATGACATGATGTCATGAAAAGATGCCGTGCGGATGACGTCATGAGAACAGATGATGTCATGAACACAGATGACGTCATAGAATGACCAACATGTGTCGCCATATGTTCACATATGGAAAGAGAACAGAAAACATATGTGAACATATGCGAGAAGAAAATGTGAAGAACGCAAGAAAATGAGACGCATGATGCTAACTAGAGGATGACATATATGTCATCCTCTAACACGATTCATCATGAAATTCGTTAGGTTTAATTGGGGGTGATGAAAATTGGACGAGGACAAAGGATCCACGATCACGCGTTAAACGCGTGATACTGAAGGAAGAAAGAAATGGATATATATGTAAGAAGATATACGTGTGATCGCTAGGTTCGACTAGACGTGAATGAGTTTTTTCTATACTACTGTCTACCTCATAGCGTTTTTATCGATGTTCAGAAAAGTACACTCATGCTTTTTTAACAAAAAATTCGTATAATATTTACAATGACTCTTAATAAGCATGTTATACACATATGTGGAAGATTCTAATGAGTCTTGACCGGCAACGGAAAGTACGAAAGAAAATTGCATAAATGGATTGTTGTTTTAAAATGATAATGACATCATTCGCGATTTCGTGTCGAGTACGCTTCATTGCCTATGTTGGTTTTTTTTAATGATTCATTGTAGAGCAAAACTTTCTCAGTTTACGCATGCATTGATGACGTTCTCTTTCTTAGTGTTTCTCATAAGTTACAAAAGCTAGCATAAAAAGGGGCGTGCTGTCCTTTTATGAGGAAGTCACTTTTAGCCGAGAAAATACCAACATGCGATGGTTGGATGAGCATAGTAGGGTATAAATACTAAAACAGGTGTAGAAAATATAAGATATCGACATTGTGAAATACATGGACAGCGACTTATCATTCTTCGGTTATTGCTGTTGCTTTTTGTTTATTCCTTCGATAATATGGGGTTCCATCTCAGCATCGAGGTACGCTAATTATAAAAAGACAATGAATATGTACACTCCAACAACTTGTCTACTATTGAATTATACTGTACAATCTCATCAGTGCGAAGATTGTAGTGATGGGTCGTGTAAATATTACACATGCTACAATGAGTTTTTTCAAGCAACGTATCCAATTGCAAATGGCACTTATATAATATCTACTACCTCGAGCATAGATAGATCTGAACAGCATCAACAAACACAGGTACATGAAATATGAATTATGGTAAAAAGATCACATGAAATGGTTTGTCTTTGATGATGTAGATAAATAATGCGTACAAGTGTTTTTACCAGTTGGATAATGTCATTCTTCTTCTGATGGAACTCCCAAATAACAACACAAATTTGGTACACCTGAGCATTGCGTTCTCTTTTGCTGGTCTATTTATTTTAATTTTGGTTGCGTTGTGTATGCTTTACTTAGTGCTGGGTTGCAAGTGCTGCCATTGCCATTGTCGGGCTTTATTGTCAAGCTGTGTAGCTCGGCTTCGCAATGTGAAAGAGCAAATGAAAAATAAACTACAATTCACCAGTAAGAACGACATAGAAATGGCTACAAGAGCATGAATGGACACTCGTTTTTGATAAACCCTATATTATCTATTGTCTTTTCTTATACTTACAAAGATCTTTCCATACGAACAATACGACTTTCATGGCGTGACTCATATTGAATTATACTATCTCTGAACTTGTGCAATCTAACTGATTAGTACTGTTAGTAAAATTGTTTTGAACTATTCAATACCAATAGTACCTGTATAAAATACACCCGATTCGTCTAAGTTATTTCTATGACTTGTAGACTAAGATTATTTACATAATGTATTGCAACTTTGTTAAAAAAAATCTACAAAAAGGAATTAGAGATTGATATCATATTATTTGCCGAGTTTCTAGCGATACTGGTTATAATTGGGAAAATTATTGGGAGGACCACCAATTCTGCCATCGCCATTAAGATCAATATTTGTTGCTCTCTCCAATTCATTGATCATACTGTTGCCTCCATGCTGATTGAAATTAGGAGGAGGTGGACCATTATACGGAGGACCACCGTATGGAGGAAAGTTCGGAGGAGGATATGATGGACCACCACCAATTCTACCGTCGCCGTTGAGGTCTATGTTTGTAGCTCTTTCCAGTTCATTGATCATGCTATTACCGCCATATTGATTGAAATTAGGAGGAGGAGGAGGTGGACCATTATACGGAGGACCACCGTATGGAGGAAAGTTTGAAGGAGGATATGATGGACCACCACCAATTCTACCATCGCCGTTGAGATCTATGTTTGTAGCTCTTTCCAGTTCACTGATCATGCTACTACCGCCACCAGGTTGACCGTAGCTTGGAGGCGGCGGTGGACCACCAAATGGCGGATAATTTGGAGGGTAGCTAGGTCCACCACCGATGCGTCCGTCGTGATTAAGATCAATGTTCGTTGCTTTTTCCAGTTCGTTTATCATGCTGTTGCCTCCATACTGATTAAAATTAGGAGGAGGTGGACCATTATACGGAGGACCACCGTATGGAGGAAAGTTTGGAGGAGGATATGATGGACCGCCACCAATTCTACCGTCGCCATTGAGATCTATGTTTGTAGCTCTTTCCAGTTCATTGATCATGCTACCACCGCCGCCAGGTTGACCGTAGCTTGGAGGCGGCGGTGGACCACCAAATGGCGGGTAATTTGGAGGGTAGTTAGGTCCACCACCGATCCGCCCGTCGTGATTAAGATCAATGTTCGTTGCTTTTTCCAGTTCGTTTATCATGCTGTTACCATTGGCAGAATTGAAATTTGGTGGAGGACCATGATAAGGATTAAACGGAGGTGGACGAGACGGACCACCGATGACTCCATCATGATTCAAATCGATATTTGTTGCTCTCTCCAATTCACTGATCATACTATTGCTGCCAGCTTGATTGAAATGGGGAGGTGGAGGACTACGATAATGTGAATGATTGGAACGATAATTAGGGCCATTTCCAATTCTACCATCTCCGTTTAAATCAATATTTGTCGCTTTTTCCAATTCATTTAATAAACCTTGACCACCAGATTGATTGAAATGCTGTTTACCTATATGTCCATCCCCATTGATGTCAACGTGCGTTTTTCTCTCTAGTTTATCCACTAACGTTTCACCTCTATGATCTGGCGCGTAGTAGCCACTAACGTGTACATGGTGGCGTGCTTTTTGAAAAACAAATCAAAATGACAATTTATCATATTTACATAGGCGTTGGTTTTATTCTTACTTGATCCTATCACACCATCGTTATTGAGGTCGACTCCGATTTTTTTCTCTATATGTTTTACGATGAAACCTATGCAAACAGAATATGATAAGTGCATCGTCAAGTTGTCACACGTAAGTTACTCATAGTATTGAATTGTGAAGTTGACTGCGAGAGATATACACTGTACAAATCTTAAAATTACAAACTAAGATAATGATTTGTATGATATTGTTTACATTAATATATATATGCATCTATGACGATGTTTTTTCTCTCTCTTGCGATCCTGTCTCAAATGAATAACAATAGATAACGATAGACGTCAATGTTTTTTATGTGACGCATTTCCCACACGATGAGCAATCATGCAAAACTTAATTCTATCTTTCCTCTTACTCATCATATTCAAAGATACATCACAATCTACAAAAAGGAGAATAAAGTAAATTATATTCGTGCGAAGTAAACGACATATTGGTATTCTTCACCATTATTTTTATGTATTATATTAACGTAAAAGTTTTGATTAGAATTTATTGAAATCGATTATCGATATAGATAGATAGGATCTGCGTATTTTACGCCTTTTGAAATGTATCAAGATGATCGTAGTTAGTAAGAGTAGTATTAGACTCACTAAAGTCAATGTCACATATGATATGTTAAACTGCAGAATAATTAAAATAATTTCCGTGGCAAGTATTCCCAGGATCACGAAAATCAAGCAGATTGTTCCGATGCGATGTCGAGCGAGTCGATAGATACATGGGTAAAGAGTTCTCACAATGGATAGAATACCGGTGCAAATTCCTAATTGATTAAGAACGTCGATGGTAGTTTGATTAGGAAGTATGAAACCATAGCAAAGAGCGTGGCTTGCCGACACATTCGACGATATAACAGGTTCACTCGGCTGACATGCGAATTGGTCGACTACTTTATACAACGAGAAACGACTTTGAAATATGTAACAATATGAAAATTCATCAGAGCACAACTCATTTGGATAGATCAAACGCATGGAGAATATACATCCATCGGTAAGTATCACCATAAGTAACATAAGACACATACTCAACACTATAGTTAATGGTAAACGAGTTGAGAGTTTTGTAGACAATTCATATTTGTCGCCGCATATATCAAGAACGATGATTTCTTTCGAATTATTGTGTATTTGTTTGAAGCCAAATAATGAGTGTGTTAGTTGAACCAACCTTTTAATCGGCAACATGAGCAAAACAATACAAGAAATTAAGGTGAGAGCAACTTGCACAGCGACTACAAGCACCGTGAAAACACTGTATGAAATCATAATGTGGCTAACTCCAATTTTTCAGAGAGTTGTCGTGTTAGACGAAAACAAAACAATAGTTAACAGTACATCTCCAAATAATAATAAAAACTGATTTGAATATTAAAAGGGATTTATACGCATAGGATTAGTTGATGAAAAGGATAACAGTATAACAATTGAATTGTGATGACCTATATATCAGAAATGTTTCTTGCTCCTGCAAATGCCAATGATACATTTAAGCAACGCACAGATTCAGTATTCGTTTATTACGAACATGAGGATAGTATTGAAGTATAGCACGATGAATGAGCTGGAAAAAATTGTGTTTCGTCTCCATAAGCTACATTATGAACACAAGCAACTACTTTTTATCTATTACAGCACAATACAATAGGCAAATCAAGATTATTTTCGTTGTGAATTCCGCTTCTATTGTATCAATGTATGTAAATAATAAACGCTCTGATAAGAACAAATCTTGTTCTTTGCTTTACTCGCTTCAACATGAATATTACCTTTTAACTACAGAAGACATCAGCAACTAACGAAAAACAGAGTTAAAATTCTTTCACATCTACTGATAAATGTTGTTTTTCGTTATCCTTTTCCTATTCGGTACGACTGTCGCACAAACACCAAAACCGTGCACAAGTCCTCATCAATGGGAAGCACGCGTACATAGTTCCAATCTAAATTTCGATGCTGATCTTCTCGGTCGTTTCAGCTACGATTCCGTCTTTCAACGTACACGCATTTTACAACATGTAAAAGTTGGTCGTACGGAAACGTACTACGATATCATTAGTTTATATCAAGATAAACTTGCATTTATGATCGATATGAAGACTGCTAAATGTTCACGTTTTAACTTTGATCAGCCATGGCGTGATTTCGGCATTCAATCCGATGCGACGCCACTTGGTGTAGCTTATATCGGTTCTTCTGCTCTTTCTGATGCTACGCTTCTCGTCACTATCTGGTATGATTTCTACATATTTCTACAAATTTGAATAGATCAAGTAGGATTTCTGTTGTAGGACTGGAAAGGAAATAATTCCTATAAATGAAACTGCACGCTATATCGACACGTGGACTCAAAACAGTTGTTTACCAGTCTCTAATATTGTTTTTGAACCAAGTGGAAGTGTAAATCATTTGAGATATTATGATGTAACACTTGGTATCAACGATCCAAATGTATTTATCCCACCAGAGAGCTGCTTCACCCATGAACGCCATCTAGTACAGTATTTTCCTTTTGGTACACTTCGAAAAAATATGCTATTTTAATCCATCTGCTTCATTATATTAAATACACTTCAGTAATCGTTTCAATCAGGAACAAATCAATCCGTCACAGTGGCACAAATGCTCGTCGGGTCATAATCATTGCTCAGTGTTTGCCGAAGAACGCAAAAGGCAATAAAACGGATACTACATCCATGCCATCACTATTTTCTAGGAAAAAGCAGATTTGTGGAAAAGTCATCGATTCTATTCTCGTGCGCTAATTGACACGCACTCTTATGATACTATTAATTATGACCATACCTATCTGAATGCTTACGTATTTTTTGAGTAATATAATCTCAAATGATAATTACAATCAAAGCTAGAATTCCGGTGTAGAAGCTAGCGTATAAATCTGCGACAATCTATTAGTTTGTGAGACGCGCTACACAACAATGAATTATAGTTCTACGAATATGGATACTCGTGCAGTTTGTTTGATTAATCTTATTAATTTTTTAAATAAAACGATTTCTCAATACGGCCTTGGCATTATCTACTTGTTGGGTAACATTGGATCGGCGCTGACTTGTCTTGTTTTCTATCAGCCGACATTCCGTCATAGTTCTTGTGCTATGTATTTTCTCGCTTCTAATTTTTCGCAATTTTTCACTTTCAATTTCGCTCTCCTCACTCGAATGCTTTTCTATGGATACGATGTCCGAATCGCAAACACTTTTGGTTGGTTTTGTAAAGTTCGCTACTACTTATTCTATATTTTTATCGCCAATTCTCGTTACAATATTATTATGGCTTCAATCGATCGCTATTTCGCCAGTTCTCAGAGCGTGCTTTCCCGTCAATATAGTTCACCACGAATTGCTTCACGAGTTATTCTTATCGGCGCTATTACTTGGTGTTTAATTTACATTCAAGTTCTCGTTTTCTACGATATCTATGATGGTAGTTGTCAGTATCAAACGGGAACATACGGAATCTTTTTCAGCATCTTTATTTCAATCGATAGTGGAGTTCTGCCAATAGTTGTGATGCTTATTTTCGGTTCTCTAACTATCCGAAATGTCCACCGAAGTAGACGACGCATTGGGGTCTTTCCGTCCGTGCGGGGCTACACTCAGACGTCTCATGGAAATAGACTAACACGAAGAGACATGCAATTATACCGAATGTTAATTAATCAAATAATCCTTTTTACTATTTTGAACATACCTAACCCCTGCTATCTCATATATAATTCATTTACTATCGAAGATGTCGAACAACCTGTTCGCCAGACCGTGACAGTGTTTGTCAGCAATATGACATACGTGCTTATTTATTTTGGATTTGCTTTAACATTCGTGAATTTCGCTATTTCGTCCAAGATATTTCGACGAGAATTCCAACGACTTATTCAAAGAAAAGTACATTGTCTACGCGCACGACACATGCGTCGAGGTTAATCAATTCACTCAGACATAACACATAAATGCATTCATTTATACTGTCATTGTTCGTAGATACAAGAACGAAAAGAAATATTGAAATTTATAGAAGTTCACACATATACACATCGTTACACGCTTCGAAACAATAAAATCGTCTTCATCCGTGTATGTAATAAACAAAAATTGATTGCGTAGAAAATATCTGTGCGAGAAAACAAGTAACAGCTGATAACAGCATTCATGATTTTATTTGTTTTTGCATATTAGCGTGAACAGCACAGCAGTTACCATATCTATCTCCCTCTCTCTCTCTCTCTCTCTGATTTTTGATGAATACGAGAGAACTACATGTGGACTGCTCAATAACATATATGTCGCTGCGAATCTCCGTTTCTTGAAATATAGACATGTCTGCATGCCAATACGATAGCTCAACAGGCTATTCGCAAGGAGCTTAACTATTCCTTCGTTCTTAATTACTTCTCATTTTTATTTCATACCTCAAAACATGCTTATGACAGTTACTTTCTTTTTTAGAAAATCGTTGATACACTGACGACGTCCTCTCTGATTACTGAAATTTAATTATGTTACGAATTGACATTCGGTTAATATCGGTCTTATGTTTTCTGGCAAATTCATGTGCATATATGTACCATGCGAAAGACTCCGATGTCCTGAAACAAAATGAGTTATTTCCTGGATCAATTACCAGCATTGATGGTATATTAGTTGGTCATAGTTCGAAGAGCGAACGTCCAACAGGTTGTACTGTTATTATATGTAATACAACATGTGTTGGAGGTGTTGATGTTCGTGGAGCGGCTCCAGGTACGCGTGAAACTGATCTTCTCGATCCTATGAATATAGTCAAGCACGTAAATGCTATTGTATTATCCGGCGGGAGTGTGTTTGGATTAGATGCAGCATCAGGCGTGACTCAATGTCTGATGGAGAAAAACGTAGGATTTCCAGCTCGTGATCGTCTCGTTCCAATCGTTCCAGCTGCAGTCATATACGATTTGAGTGTAGGTAATAATTCGTTTATAGTTCCTGATGCTCAATCTGGGTATTCAGCTTGTATGGCAGCTGACAATTCACCTGTGACTGAAGGCAACGTCGGTGTTGGCACTGGTGCCAGCATAGGAAAAGTATTGAGTATTACAAATGCTATGAAATCAGGACTTGGTAGTGCTTCAGTTAACATTCGAGATCCAACCACCAATACTACAGTTACCATTGCTGCTCTTGTTGTAGTCAACGCAGCCGGCGATATTTACAAGAAGAGTCAACTGATAGCTGGTGCTCGAACTCCAGATGGTAAACATTTACTGAATACAATAGAATATATTTTGAATGCGGGTGCGATTGTTGATGATATTTTTCCCGTTGGAACTGCAACAACACTTGCTTGCGTAGTGACTGATGCTATAATTACTAAAGCTGAAGCAAAGAAGATTTCACAAATGGCACATGATGGATTTGCTCGAGCAATCAATCCTGTTCATACATTGGCTGACGGAGATGTGGTTTTTACACTAGGCACTGGCGCTTTACCTGTCTCAAACATTAATCTTCTTGGTATTATGGCAGCAGAAGCTGTTGAACGTGCCATTATTCGTGCTGTGGAGAAAGCTACTGGTGTTCCTGGATTTCCTAGCATTCACGAGCTTAGTTTAAACCCATCAGGTTAGAAATCCGCGCAGAACTCTAATGTGTTAATATGTATTTTAATTACTTGCTTCTACTTTTAGATTGCGACAATGGAAAACCTTGAAATTCGATGACAATTATTCTATTAATACGATCAAAAAAACTGTTTTATGTAATAAGAAAATCAATATCCGTTTATTGTACGAAATAGACAGAAAACTAATTTTATGGTTCCGCACTCTAAATCAACGAATTAAGATTCAGTATTTTCAAGTGAATAAACTAAGACCTAATGAAGCCAAACGTGCACTCATTGAGTTGCTCATTCTTCCCATGTATAATTGAACAATTCCTTGTAGTTCTAGCAATGAAACTCGTGACGGCGCAAACACATCGAAGTAACAATCGCGACTATTTTTGCCTGCTTTCAAATACGTATGAATTCTTAACCCATGAATTTGTTGACTTGGATCGAAATTCATCACTTCAATAGTTTGCAGCTCATACTGACGGAACGACACGAAATGTAATTCATCAATAATCAGTCCGTTCCAGTATAAGACAACATGACCATGTTGACGATCTAGCAAGCGATTGTATGTTGATTGCCGGCAACAAAATGATGATAATGGAGCCACTTCCGTCCATTGTCGATTTGGGCCATGGATATAATCCAGAAATCGACTCCATTCTATACCGTCATATCGCCAAATAATTGGATTTTGAGTGATTCTCGGATCGGTAAGGTCATTCATTTGTTTTCTAAATTGACAGGAGGCGCATCCTATTACAAGTAAAATTATAAGAGCGCCTGTACCAATAAACGTAGATCCCATGATAAGCAATGCAAGATCTGTTCTTTTGCAAGGTTCCAGAGAAGTGTCACATTTTGGCAATACGAAGGAGATAATAAGTAATATCAAACCAGTCAAAATAAACAGACTGAAAAGGAGTACAATGTAAATCATCGTCTTACGAAATTTATTCTTGTGAAAGTCAAGCAATTCCAGTACTGGTGCTGATGAAAAAGCAGCGTTAGCAGTTTCACTGAACATAGATGCGATGGTTGACGATGGGTTTTCAACTGGAATAACAGTATGCTTCATATCAGGATGTTCTTGTGCTATGGTGGAGAAATTTGGTTGACTTTCCATTTTTCTAACTACCAAAATAATATCACAATCTTAACGGGTTCTCTGTGGATATGCTCTTAAATTGTTACTAAAAATTAAAAAGAGTAAAAATAACGATTAGCATCTGCCGGTAGAGAAAAAAGCAAGACTAATCTTGTCACTATAAGAGATATATTTGTTGATTTTTCTTTTCAAACATGTTGATGTTGTTATAAAGACTTTATCTTTCACTTTAAAAATACGATAAAAATTACTCTATATTGCGCTTGTTATTATCTCCATGGCTTCTGCATACATAGGGGAAGATCGGTTGAATTTGTTTTTCAGCAATTCAAATAGTATAATCACTTAATTCATCTCTTTGTGTTCAAAATGACGTCTGAATTAAATTTCTACATGATTCAATATATATGAATCAGAAAATAACAATCGTCATACAAAGAATAGAAAGAGGCTTCTCGGCAGGTTATTTTCATATGTTATTTTCACTAGGTTGTAAATATCGAAAATAATACACGTTTATACTCATTACTCGCGTAATGGAATATAATTCTGTTCTAAATTATATTTTGTACGTCGAGTACAACTCGGTTCAATCTATTTAAACAATTATGCAAACTCATTAATAGCAAAGAGCAGAATCAACAGGAGACACATTGTCGGGAAATGCAGATGGTATCGTGAACAAATTATTGTAGAGATTATTCAAATGATATTAAAAAATATTGACTTTTGTGATGAACAACGGCGAATGATTCTATGTGAGTTTTCAACGTAAATTATTCGTTATATTTTTTGACATTCTCTTCGATTCGCTCCAATATCACCGATACGAAGCTAGCTCGTCTAGAAGACAATCTTAAGATAATACCGGATGAATATCAATGGTGACGAAAATCATTCTGATTGTATTGAGGATACAACTGTCTCAATCTTATTTGACGATGGCGACCATTGCGCTAGTTGTCTGTTAGTCAGATCATTCTTAGTCAATATAGGATCTTCTTCGAAACGACTCTCGAAAATGATGTGCTTTTTTCTATCTGTTGTTTTAATGCGTATGAGTGCAGTTCGAAATGCAGCTGGTCTTGTTACTTACTGATCTTTCTTAGGTATTATAGAAGTCTGTCTTTTTCCTGCTATTGTTTATTACTTATCAATATGGTATTCAAAGAAACAGCAGGCAATTCGAGTCGACCTGTTTTAGTCGATATTAGCCTTATCAGGAACAGTTGGTGGTATATTCACGTATGGAATCAGTCAGATGAGTCCGTAGAGTCTTAGAAAATGGCGATTCTTTTTTTATTGTAAGTAAAGTTCAATGTAATATGGTACTTTTTATTAATAGTTAGAAGGTGCGCCCAATGTTATTGTTGGAGTATGTTGTTGGTTTTTATCATCAGATTCGCTGGGAACAGCAAAAAATTTCTAAGCGATGACAAATTCCAGCTGCTAGCTAAGCGCTCAGCTGAAGACGCTAGTTCGACAAGGAAGAAAAATTTTCTTGGTCACAAGTGTTATGTGTGTTTGTAGATTTGAAAACGTACATTTATCCAATCGTTTATATCGCCGGCTTGATTGTTCTTCAAGGTATAACTCTGCCAATGCCTGAGATTATCAACTAATGAGTAATCCGCCAAAAATATGAGCATTTGCTGCTGTTTTATTCTTTTCGCGCAGTTCTGATAAGCAAAGTTTATTCAATATTTTATTAGTCGTACTTTGTGTGGCATTTCTGATAACAAATAAACGTCGAAAACAAATGAATGATGAACAAATCGATAAATATGGTGGAGACGAAGTAGCTGGTGATCACCATCCTCATGTTCGGCATACTGTGCAAAAACGATATTTTTGTTATTTTCAAAGATACTACTCACGCAAAACAGAAAATTATTAGTTCATTAGTTAATCTTAGCAAGAGAACCGAATCTTCTTGTCAATAGACATGTATATGTCGTATCGAAGTTATATATTTATCGAAGTTAGCTTCGACAGAGCAAATTTTTGTCGAAGTATGCACTAGTTGGACGCCTTCACCCTCAACTTCGATATCGAAGTATTAACTTCGACAAAAAGCTAACTTCGATACGACATATATATTCGTATCCTTGTCTTTTCTCAAAGTAAAACTAACAATAAAATTTTGATAGTGAAATTTTTGAAATAAATAGCCTAATGCAAATTGAGAATAGAGTATTTATTTTCGTTTTTCAATACATTTTTTACCACAGTTGGATCAGACTTTTCAGTAAAGTTGCTTAAATTTAAATATTTTTCTTTTATTGGAACGAAAGAAATGAAAATAACAACTCCTTACAAAAGTATTTACTCAGTATTTCTCAGAAGAAAATATGATGGTTTCATACTCTTGTTCAACCTTAATACCTATTATTAGGATATGTTTCGTTGTGTTGTCAGAGCATTTTCTAATATCGGTGTTGTAAATTGATAATAAGCACTTTGTAAAATCTGTAGCTGTTTCCGAGCGACGCGAATTGTATGATTGATAGTAATCAAATCTTGTTCAGCTTTGTTACATTTTTCAAGATTCTTCAGCCGTGTTGTTTCATATTTGTTTAGTTGAGATTCCAATCGATCAGAAAGTTTGTACCAAAACTGCTTGACGCCAGGTTGCTTCAAAACAGCCAAATGCTTTTGTTGTTTATCAATGATCAATGAATATGCAATAATTCTATCTTGTAGCAATCGTGCTTGACTTTCATTCGCTGACAAGGTAGATTGTATATGATCGATTCTCTTCTCGATCCACTGAGGATCCTCACTGGATTGAAAGAGCTTCAAATTGAGTTTAGTCTCTTTTAAGATTTCTGCGTCAGGCAACATAGTCAGGTTATGTTTTATCTCGTCGATTAATTTTTTTTTGTGCACATATATATATATATATATATATATATATATGTATGTGTGTGTGTGATAGCGATATGTGATCGTTTTATGACCTTGTTCAGATCAATACGTGACGTCATGCGGGCAAGAGAGAAGCATAACATTGAGTGACACGTCATGCAAACAATGCACTCGTTAACAAGGAAAGAAATTTGGTCGCCGATTTATCATCCTTGGTTGTAACAAATAATTTAACTTATTTATTTGTGAGAATCGAAGTTTACATAAAATTTGTCATTTACTATGAAATGTATTCGAAGATTTTACTTGACTTTGGTAATCACACCTTGTTCAACATGTAGAATTTGATCGAAATCCAGTGCATGTGCTCGTTCAGTGTGCAAAGTAAGGAAGAGAATACCTTTTGGTCGGTACCATTTGATAATATTCTCTATGATTGTTACTGTTGTTTCGGATGGCAAACCTTTGTCGGGTTCATCGAGAACAAGTAATGTCGAATGACGATGATACGCGCGATACAAGGCTCGTGCTAATAACAATCGTGTCTTTTGACCGCCACTAAGTTTATTCTCCATTTCTTGATTCAGATCGCTGTCGAGTTCATCTCGTACGAAATCGTCAATTTGAACCAGATGTAGAAAATCCCATACGAGTGAGTCGAGTTCAGGTGTGCGTTCTTGATTTACATCATCTTCGTCGATATTTGTTACCATACTGTAGATAGTTGATCGATAATCCATGTTACTATCTTGTAAAACCATCGTTCGAGATTTTTCGATCGAATGTAAGGTTCCCGGGTGTTCAGAATGATCGATATAGACTGTAGCTGAATAATCACTCATCGGTATTGAACCATTAAGAATATCATAAAATGTTGATTTACCTAAATTTTGAATATGAAATTGGATAATATTGACGAAAGACAACCTTACCAGCTCCACTTTTTCCTGTGATTAATACTGCTTCTCCCATTTTAAATGTTAATGAATTAGGAAGTTGTAAATGGAATGTTTGTCTTGTTCCACTATAATGGAATGACAGATCACGAATTTGTAATTGAGACTGTAAATCGATTTGTTCGACATTGCTTCGTTCGTGATACTCTTCAAGAATTGGCTGAATGAGATCATAATCTTTTTTCAATCTTAACCAACGAATATATGAAGTGAACAAACTATCAATACTATCGGTCAAAGTTGATAGATAATGATATAATGGAAGAATAAAAGCCGTTACACCATTTAAAGAATAATACATAGCAATGATGACAAATGCGCACAGTTTACCAAGAATATCTTCTTTCAATGATAAATAATCGTAGAGATGATCGAGATCAAACCACGCTCGTTCGATATCAACTTTTAATTCGTTTGTAACCCGAATAATGTGATTTTTCTCGTGATGAATGACATATTCGAACATATTTGCATTAGCTCGCGTATATTTCGAATATAATTTCTCGTTTTTTTCAATGATTTTCAGTTTCGTATTCAGTAATCTATCACTTTGCTTGCTCAGATAAAATCGATAGAAACACGTGTAAATAATACCAATTACAACCGTTGCTAATGGGCAAATATAAAAGATTGTAAACATTGTCACGAGAAACTTTGAAACTTCCTGGAACTTGTCAATCAGTTCCTCGACGAGATATTGAACAGAAGAGCATGCTTCTTCGATCTTTCGCCGGATTTCGACTTGATCAGATAATTTGATTTGAATCCAGTTCGCGCTAAGAATTCGTTGATTTATCTTTGTTAGTAATTGTTCGATAAAATCAAGAACAAATGTTTTCTTCACTAAACGTAGTCGAAGTGAACAATACGATGAAGTCGTCTCGGTTATGATTAACATCAAAAGATACTTCAAACCTTGAGTGACATCTAATGTAATTGTTGAGAAGAATGACACATTAAAATATGTTGTAAGTGCCATGGTAATGGTCGATAGCAGAAACCATTGAATTACTTTCAACGGATTTGCCATAATGAGAACATCGAAGGAAATTCTATAAAAGTTCCATGGGGAGGAACTTTGCAAGAAGGTATACCATCTTTGTATCATGATTGTTTGAAAATTGTTTTGACTGATAAAATATTTTGTTATTTTATAGCTAGTAAAAAATATAGATTTTTCTGTCGAGCCCAAAGCATGCGTCATGATACCTGATAAAGCTTTTCTTTTGTTATTACAGTTCTTTCGCAAGAATGACACTTCTTACGACAGTCGCTCGATTTATAAAATGAAACATGTAGAAAAAGTATCGTGCCATGTCTATGACGTCATTGATCTTTATTACTCATTAACGAATGTCGATCCCAAATCAGAATTACGTTCTTTCTATCGGTTGCTGAGATCAACTGATACAACCAAGTTACGTCGATTATCATCATGAAGTCAGAATGAATCATCGAAACACAATAATGTTCACTGCACTCAAGGTTAACATAAAGAGCACTCGATAGTACTTGTACAAAATAACATGACGTAATATCCTAAAAGTACAAATGTACGCAAAAATATAAAAGTGTACGCCCATGTTACAGGTTATTTAAGTTTATAGCAGAGACATGTGCAATAAAAGTTTTTTTTAAATCAACGTATAGAATCGTCATCGAAATGTATGTTCAAGTGGTTCATTTTTCGCGTTAAACCGGACGAATTATTCAAAGTATGAACATATGTACCATCAGATTTTTCGTAGGATAATAAGCCACCATCAGCGAATTTGCCAATGTGTATTGCATCTCGACATATTTCACTTGTGAATATTTGTATCAGTATTTGATTATTAAGAAATTCTTTTGGCGGAATAAAACAAAGACGTCGATTATCAGTTTTACTCAATACATATCGTCCAGGACAATTTTTGATTTCTTTCCAAGAATATGATTCGAAAAGTTTAGCAAAGTTGAGCACTCCACTTTCCATTGCAAAACAAAATCACTGCCAAAAATCTAAAAAGAATAGATTTGTTTTTCGCTGAGTCATACGATGCTTATAAATTATACATGACAACAAGCTCAAAATGTGATTGTTCCTAAATGATTATCAATTGGCAACGAAAGTCAAATTTTGAAGAAAGAATGAGAATCCAGAAAATGATCGTAAAAGCAAGATGGATGCTTCAAAATTCGTTTTAGATAAAAAAATGAAGTTAATTCGTATATTATAAAGTAGCGACATCTTATTCATTATTCAACACCATCACCTGACCGGCATGAGTAATATCGACAGCGGTCGAGCCAGCAAGATAAAAGGGCTCACCATCCATATGTACTGGCATGGGATGGCTAAGTTCGACACGTACTTGACGACATTGAGCTATCCGAGTACCACGAAAACCAACATGTATTAAAGCCATTTGTGTGGTATTCAACGCAAGTACTTCAATCATCCTGTCGCTGAAATCTTGTGCTTCGAAATCATTGACTGCGGTTGTTGTCGATGTTCGACCCCATGGCTGTGTACCAGAACCAAAGCCTGGAGTATTGAGTAAGACAACCGAATGATAGTTTCGTATTGTATTCGTTAGATCTTGCCCATCACATATCAAACGGATATACGAACCTATGTTCCATGCGATTCCAAAAGCAAATTCATTGAAATATTTGCGACTTTCATTTATAAACATGAGTTTATTTTTGAACGGGGATGTAAATTCCGATGGATCACGCGTACGACGAGCATGAAAATCCATAACAACAGCTGCATCTAATCCAAAGCTGATATAATTGAAAAAGAACGAATTGATCGGTGTACGATGATTATCATACACTGGCAATTCCGCATTACGAATGAACTTTGGATGCTCTCTGAATGAAAAACGACTACGATGTATAGTTCCAAATTCAGCATCCGATGCATTAGGATCCAAAGTCTCGAGATGAATTTTCCAACGATCGAGTGCAACCGGATGTGCACGAGCTATTTGAGTCAGTGTTTTGAATAGTCGCGCAGAAGTGTACTCATTTCCCCAACCGAGTACACGTGACAGATCATTACCTGTGCCCAGTGGACAAATACCAGCTGGAAGATTAGTTAAAGACGGAAATCTGTCTACAAGATGACTCAGTATCCATCCAACTGTTCCGTCACCGCCACATATACAAACACGTGCATTATGAAGAGATGAGTAAATTTCTAGAGCTTGCATGACAGTCGAATCATTTTCGAGTAGAAAGACTTGGCGTGGATTGAGTAAACGAACTAGTGTTCGATAAAACTCTTGTCCTTTTTGACCACCTGAAAGTTTATTCACGAAAAATATGACAGGTGCCAGTAAATTGTCGTTAGCACCAGGTGATTCTGGCATGCAGGCCTGGAAACGGCAAGGATTATTCGTTGCACGGTGTAACCATTGCGGACGAACGATAATATTACTAAATAAGTGAGTTTTTCTGTATATGAAACATGTCTCGTCATATGAAGCCTTACCTGAATTCACCATAATCACATTGGTTATTGTTTGCATCATTTTTTATATTTTCCCAACATAGGCGATGACACTGTCGAGAACACCACATGCATACAAATTCTGTTTCTAGCGTTTCTTGATCATGACGATCATTAGAAGTAGCTTTCAACTTCTTATTCTTACAGTATGTACACGGCTTGGAAAGATTCGATAAAGGAGACCAACAGTGTTGATCATAAGTTGTGGTGTCATCTGTTGTACTATCATCCATGAATGATGGACGACACGGTGGAAGTGAGCACTGATTCGAGTAATTATTTGCTTCAGTGTACTCAGAAAGATGAGTAGAGTGTACAATCAATGAGCAAGTTGGACATTCCATGAAAGACGAATCAGATCTCAATTGTGAATTTTGACATAAAAGACAAGTACATAAGCGTGAAGAGGACGACTTTTTAGGTAAATAAGGTAACCAACAGTGAGATGTCGATTTTGCATGTTTACTCCAATCGACACCGTAGATGGAATAACTCGATGTTTCTTGATGTGTCGGTGAATTTCTAAATCATTCAATATCTCGTTCTGTTGAAGTAGTAGACGGAAATCTTACTTTTGTTCATAATCTGAACTATCAGTAAGCTTACATGTTTTTTCTAAGTGTTGAATCTCTTCATTCCCGCTGTCAAGACTAGAAGTTGCATTCGACATCGGTGTTCAGTAAAACTTATAATATATACGCGATCTGTTATTTACAAATGAGTAATGAAAACTCGTGTATATCATTCAAATAAACAGCACAAAATGCAAGCGATCGACATGCGTGAGTATTAGTAATACAACTGCGCATAAAGGAATAAACCATGTGTGAAGAAAAAGAAAACAAGAAAAGAAAGGTAGAAAAAAAATGAAAGCATAGGAAAGATTCATTTACGATAGTGTCAATGTCTTCAATCATCGACATAACTGCGACGTCTATGGAGATTGAGGGTATTTTTTTACATTAAAAAATACTACATGAAATAACATTCACGAAAATAGGCGCATCCATAGTAAGCCTACTCATTGAGAGTTAATCATGAGTACTCGTTATCTTTCCATAATGACTGACTATGGATGAGTTAGTTCCACTACCGATCATTTTTCCAACTAACAAAGGTTTACATATAGATCTTTTCAATTTTAAAATACCGGCAGAAATGGTGATTTCATATCGCAAAGCCTCAAAACGATAGAACCTTGTTTTTCCCTCTTACTTATAAACTATTCATAGGTTTGATTACTCTTTCATCTTGTATGATTTATCTTATAGTGCGAATACATATTCAAACATCCAACAGCACGATTTCATATAGTCGATGTTCGAGTAATAATAGCTTTTATGGATATATTCCCTTGATCGATGATGATGAGCTTCTGCACCGGATAAAATATTCATGAAAATATAAACGTTAAATTCAACCAATGAAATGACAAAAGCGAAAGAAATTCAACTTGCTTTTCAAAAATATGGTCTAGATAAATGTGCCAGGCAGAGTTATACTTCAGGCAGAATTAAACTCGAATAGAAAGTGATGAAAATAAAAGAAGTCTAAATGTTTCAAATAATTCTGAGTTGGTGAAGTTTATTTTTCAGGAGATGTNGTGGTTGAACAAGCCATGTAGAGTTGATGGCGTACTTTTTGTGTTGGGATAGCGTTCATTTCAGAGTGTTTTATTATGATAAATAATCGCGAATTCAATCTTTATGCGTATAGATTTATTATAAAGAAAAAAATTTATTAGAGAGCGTTCCTATCGAATGATTGAATAATGTATGTGTTTTTAATGAGTCTGAGGAAAAGCAGAACGTTTTACAAGGAATAAGGATCTTAGCATCTAGCGAATTCAATAAAATCTTCGAACGGATATTCCTGATTAGATAAGATATCAATTCGATAAAGAGAAAAAATTCGCGGATGACTTAAAAGACCGAAAGTTTATCCTACCGACTAATGCTCCATGTGACATTGGAAGAACTTCGTGCAACGGTTTTCTATTTATTTGGATTAATGGGTTAAACGAGTTAGATTGATATATTCGAATAACTGTCGATGGACAAATCCGAATTTCAAATCGTGAGAAGGGAGTTCGATACCGTGGATTGGCAATTGCGATTTCACCATTTTCAAGTGTTATATTCTACAAAAAAAAAACGTTGAAACGGGATCATCATATTTGAATTGTATCTTTACTTCGTTCACTTTGAAACTTGTGGTTACGCGTTCGCCTTGATCGTTGAATGCAACAAATTTGATTTCCCCGGATGCATCGGAAAGAATACCATCGATGACTTTATTCGACCCGAAATGTCTGACGTTGCTTAGGTAAATAATCTTTGATCGTATTCGGAAACTAAACGAAAAAGAATACTCTAAAGATCGTGTATGTGATTATACAATTTGTGCACTTCGTTGAATGTTCGTTAAGATCAACTATACGTTGAAATTGTTCATCAATTGGTGCAAAATACGTGGTAATTGATGCTATGGAAAGATGAGTAGAAAAACAATAAAGACAAAAATATTATTGTTCGATTACTTTGTCGGTTCGATGCTGATGGATCATCATTAACGTTCGTAAACGTATCTATTGCAGGTGAGTTTGATTCTTCAGTTCAGAGAAGAAAAGTGACAATCAAATTGATCGATTAATTTTTTAGCAAATCAGAGAATAGCTCTTTGTCTTACCGATATTCTGTTGTTGATTGTGTATTGTTTCGTTTGTCGTAAGATTTGGTCTTGTTATGTTTGATATTTCATGTGAAGTTCTTTGATTTATTAACGAATGACTTGATTTGTTTCGATCGACTTCGTTGTGAAGATTAGAATGAAAAGCGGACTGATCAAGTTCGGGATGACCTTTTAAGACAATAGAATTATTCGTTTCAATCGACTTGTATTATTTACTAAGACTCGATTGCGAAGATTGGCTAGATATTGTAATTGTCGATGAAAAGTGTTCTACTTCAGGTGATTTCCGTTGTTCTGTCGACCGCGCATGATCGTTATTTGTTGGAACATGATTTTTTTGATGACGCGTGTCTGGTGATTGTCCTGTAAGGTTAGAGGTACATTGTAGTTTATCAGGAAAGAAATTGATCATAGTGTGACAAGTGATACTTACGTCGTCGTTCTGCTTTTGTTCGTTGTCGAGTATGTCGAATATTAGAAACTAGACATGTTAAGAAAAGAAGATCACTATCGAGTGTGACAGTTATAGACTGACTTGATGGTTGATTTCGACCACTTTTTTTTCTTCTTTGGTTTGTTTTGATGGTTTTCTTTGCGCGTGGCATGATATATGAAACAGACTTTGATTACGAATGTTTGATCTTCTTTAATGATCAGAGATCGATTCGATCAGTTCGAATAGTGCGCTCTGAACAGAGACGTCCTAATGAAGAGTTCGTAGGATATTGCTTTCATCAGTGTGTATTTCTTCATAATCAGTTATGCTGCTGATGTTTTTTTGAGAAGAAGGGCAGTATGTGCTATTTATCGATCGACATGTTCTGAATTTTATTCTCGAAAGATTAATCAGAAATATGAGTAGTTTTGATCCAGAATTCCTTTCCTTTGTTTATTCAACTGAAGTGAAATGGGAATAAAGTACGATTTGTTTTTCAAAGCAAAACGATCGCGAATTACAGGAACATTTTTTAAATTAATCTCTTCTAGGATGTACAGGAAAAGTGCTGAGGTAGGTCAATGATAAAGACGTTGTCGTGGTATGCTTATGGAAGATTGAAGATTTGAAAAATTCGTGAAGTTTTTAGGTTTTCCTTCTGATAAGTTTTAAATCTGATGAAAATTATTTTTTGTTCGTATGCGTAGCATTTATTTCCTTTGAATCGGAATGAGAAAGAAAACGTCAGAAATTTTCTGCACAAAAGAAGGTCAACAGACATGAAGTTTCTAAGAACGAATAGTAGCTATAGACTTCTCACAGGTGGTGGCATATGGAATAGTATTCTTTAGCAGATCTCAGTTAAAATGATCGCTAATATGCATGCGTAGTTAATGAGAATGCAGCGAATTTTCTTTAGCATGAAAAGACAGTACGAANCTTTGAATCGGAATGAGAAAGAAAACGTCAGAAATTTTCTGCACAAAAGAAGGTCAACAGACATGAAGTTTCTAAGAACGAATAGTAGCTATAGACTTCTCACAGGTGGTGGCATATGGAATAGTATTCTTTAGCAGATCTCAGTTAAAATGATCGCTAATATGCATGCGTAGTTAATGAGAATGCAGCGAATTTTCTTTAGCATGAAAAGACAGTACGAATTGTATTTTTCTTTGTTTTGTTCTATGAGAGATATATGTTTTTTTTAATTGTTCATATGTATGTATCGCCGAACAATCGGTATGTAACTATCGAGAAAAAAACGGCACTCTATGAAGCAAATAAAAAGCTTTTGCTTGAAAAATGACATGCACGATCGGGTGTTTGTTTCTGGAATATTATTTGATATGTAAAAGTCGATTTTGAAAACAACGGTATTAGTGGTATTATCGAACGGATTACGACTTTGGAATGTTATTCTTCGGATATAAAGTCATTCGCTACCAGGATGTCAGTGTCATCAGCGATATCTGATTCTTGTCGAATTGCGTCTAAATGAGAGGATAAATAGAAAAGTGTTTTTATTCATGTCGTTAAAGTATTACTCGTTGCGATGCGACGTCGTTTGACTACCGTTGAATTTCTTGAAACATGAGTGATTTGTTGTGTGATCTAGATATTTATATGAAAAGATGAGATTATTTCACAAGATTAACGATATGATGTAATATACCGAAAAATCTGTCTCGTCTGAGATATCCAAAAGTCTGTCATTCGAAGCTTCTGGTACGATGGCAATGCTTGTGTTTGATGATGTCGTTCGATGAAGTGTGTTGGTTGATCGAGAATGTGATAACACTGGGGCGATATCGGAAATTTTCGAATACGGTTCTGCAGAAAATAAATTTCTGCCGATTGTGGTCAATGTTGACGATGAGCGAATGCCAGTTGCTCGTGATGCATCGATATAATCTGTGAGTTGAATTTTGTACCGTTGTAATTTAATTTGAATCAAATTAGCATCGATCGTGTCCTTTGGCAATACTTTCGCATAGCATTTGATGGGTCGGTATGTGTTGGTGAAGACGAAATAATCGTTAAGTAAGAGGCCGTCACTAACTAATGTTTGTAAACCATCCGTGCCAAGTGAACGGTCGATCTTTTTGTGATCTGTAAGAGAGAAAGAATCGGTCATTATTCGATATGAGGAAGAGAAAGTGCATTAGTAGATAGGTAAATGAGTCTCTGTGAGGTACCGATTCAGGAACTTGCGCCAATAGTATCGATAACAATGGGAATACGTGAGCCTGGCTGAATCAAATGAAAATCAATGACAATACATGGATATGTTGGTATTGAAGGTATTCGTAATTGCTCGATACAAGCAGTGAATAACTCAATCCGTTCAATCTCAAATGATGTTGAACTGATGAAAATAGATATCGTTTCGAGCTGTTTTTATTTAAATAGAAGCAAACAGATTCTTACCGTTCTGTTCGTATAGATCTTCTTTGGTAATAATGATCTGAGGTAGCATTAGAATCTCTCGCATTAACGACTGTTTCAATTCAAAGCTAGATAAACGAAACGATTTTGGTCCGATTGATTCTAATGTCGTGATGTCGAATAGTTTCAACGTTTGTTCAAGGAGATAACCATGAAAGTAGATGGCGCGATCGACAGAAGATTCCGTGATTGTAATTTGTGGTCCATATAATCTTCGGATCACACTATCAATTTCATTGAACAGTCGAATGTTCAATCCAATGGCGTCATTTCGTTCACGTAGTCTAACAAAGAAATATGCTTTCGGAACTTTTTTATCGTAAAGAACTACTCACATTTGAATATTTTCAAAAATTGATGGTAATAAATCAATTACTTGTGTTAGTGCTGTGATTCGAGTGATTTGCGCTGGTTGTTTAGCTAGAAATGAGGTGATACGTGGTAAGTCTGATTCTGTTGCTTGTTGTGATATACGTTCGATATACGTATCGAGTTTCACCTGAGATTCTTCGCTGTATAGGTACTGACGTTTGCCTAGGATATAAATCGCCATCAACAACTGGGCAAGTGTTGGTAGAGTCAGATTAGGATCGGTATGATGTTCTCGTAGGTACGGTCGGTAAGACAATACAAGGAAAAGACAACGTACAACAGCTCCGTCGACCATCACGTGCTTCAGAAATTCTTGTAAAATAGGTGGAATCAAAACACCTGTGCTGGTTCCGCATATCGTCATACGAGCATCCCGTATTCTTTGTGAATATCCTTTTGTTTTTTTTCTCATGTTGAGACCATCGTATAACTGACAAAACAATTGGCGCGATGAATCTTGCGTGTTGGTAGAAAAGAAACCCATCTGTTTCAATGCAATGTCGAGTTCTTCCTGTATGATGATGATGTTTGTTGATTGTTTTAACTAGTAGCAATCATAGAATAGGAAGTGAGTGAGAGTTTTTGGGAGAAATCAGATAGAAACACGTGAGAGTGTTTCTTAATGGTCGTACTTGATCAAGAAAGCCGGCTTCGGTGAATTTGTCGATTATCGAGTTAGCAAGATTCGGATTGGCAATATTGTTTATATGGAGAAAATCATAAAGCTCTTCTAGTGCTTCACGACATTCGCGAATACAACCGCTTTTTGTTGCGCCTATTTAAGAGAAACAAGCGCTTTGACTTTGACATGAAAAAAATAGTCTATACCAGAGCATCCAACAATGATAGAGTACAGATTCAAGTGCCGAGGTATGCGATTCCATTGCAGCACAACACTTTCGATTGATAGATGAGCTATGGCAGTCATCAGAGCATAGTACAAGCTCAGAGGATGTGCGCTCGTTGCATGGTCGTAATTCTGTAACCATGGTTTAATTGTCGGATGTATACATTTATCGATGTCAAAATCGATATGAGAAGCTAATTCAATATTTTTCTCGAAAAGTTCGTTGATTTCTTCAATATCGTATTTTCGTCTTCTAGTTTTGTATGATTCCATAGAGCTAATCGTTCGTGTTTGGTTCAATCTGATCAATCTGTCATATATTTACTAATCAAATCTAGTAGAAAGACTCGTTCCTAAAGACGTGTTTCGGCGCCTAATTGATAATTTGACTTATTTGATATATACATAAATTTGTATGCGCAATGCCGTACAAGAATATAGACATTGAAATGATTTTACCTCAGCATGAAATGCATTGGAAAATTGCACATTGCCCAATACGTCGTATAAAAGAAAATGAATATCGTATATCCATTGAATTAAAGGATAAAAAGCGACAGTATTCATGCATTTCATTCGAAGATTTATTCAAATTGATACAGAGAATACAAGCTGAGAAACGAACATTTTATGAACATATTAGTCGTGGCGATGCAGTAAAATTTTATCTCGACTTCGAATATTATCGCATTGCTGAAAACTCAATAGTAGACAATCAAAAGTCTTTATTGACAATTCGAAAGTTATTCGTGACTATGATTAGATTACTTATTCAGATTGACAGCATATCAGAAGAGGATATGATCATCTTAGAATCATCATCATGTGAAAAACATAGTTATCATATGATCTTTGATAATGAACATGTTCGATTTATTGATACCGATTCATTACATCTTTTCATTCGACAAATCCTTCGATATATTTTATTGAATACCCTGAAACATAAATGTGTAGATAATCGAAATTATCTAGTAAACAATATCAATGATGATCTTATCTTAGCAGAATTGATGGAGATGTTTGAACGTATTCGATTAGAATGTTTTTCTTGTACAAAATGCAAGGTAGGGCAGATTGAAATTTCCGTAAGCGATGTTTGCAATTTATTCGCATACAATCAAAATCATTACCTTGTTCCCTGTATCGATTTGAATGTTTATTCTGCTGAACAAGATTTTCGGATGTTTATGTGTACAAAGATGGGAGAAGTCCGACCATTATTGAAGTATAATTGCCGAGAAAAAAATGATCAATATAGAT